GAATGAGCCCTTCTTGCTGCACTTTGCCACCCCTTACCACTAAAACCTCCAAAAAAGTATTGTCCCTTTGTTGATATGTGGGATTGTCCTTGTCTGCTTCTCCAAGGCTGGGCTCAATGTCGCCACCCTGACACAGCCCTGGTACTCAATGCATCCTCCCTATCCTTGCTTCCCAGGGCCTCACACCCACTCCTGGATCAGCGGCAGCCTCACTACTCAGCTTTTGGCTCTGTGGGTGAGTGGCTTCGAGCCATCAAAATGGGAAGATACGAAGAAAGTTTTGCAGCCGCTGGGTTTGGCTCTTTTGAGCTGGTCAGCCAGATTTCTGCTGAGTAAGTCATGGCAGGAGCTGGAGGTGGGGGTTAGAGCCAAGTAGTCAGAGGGGCACCTAGGGAACAGAATCCAGCCCACTGGTTCAGCAGGGGCCTTTGGGATCAATTCCTGGTGCCAACTTTTGTAGAGTTCCTCCAAAGTAATAACAGCTGCTGGGGCTGAAAGCCCAGGGAACAAATATGCCCGGCTCACCCTCTTGCACCATTTCAGCCCTTGCTCATCTTGCTCCCTGCCTGGCAATCTGTATCTATCTTTGTGCATCTATCTACATTCCAGACCCTGCTCTCACATTAACAGCGTGTCAACTTTGGATGTTTTCCCACCCATAAAAGGAGAAGATTGGACTAGGTTTTGGAGGACCTTTCCAGCTTTAATGTTAAATGGTTTTATGATTCTAGGGCTTCCCAAATACTGGTTTTTTTTCTTAGTTGGCTTTTCTGTAATACTTTACCGGTCTGCCTTCCCATTTCTCTCCCAAGGACTCTTCTGGCCCCGGATTTGAATAACAAAAATAGAAGGAATAGAAATCTGGAACCAGAGGGTCCTAGAGACCCTCTCCCTGGCGGGGCAGGTCACAGGCCAGTCTGCCCCAGTGGGCCTGGGTGCTCTCCTCACAAACTTGTTCCAACCTCTCCTTGACACAGGTTCTTGCTCTCAGTTTCCCACCTCTTCTTTTTTTTCTTATTCTCCAGGCCTTAGGATGGAGGGGGAGGCAGTTTGGTTTCCCCACTTCCCTCCCCTTCTCCTCCATCCAGCCCTTCCTCTCTTTGGCCTTTTCCTCTGACAGCTTCTTAATCCTCTAAAGCAATCTGTGCATACACTTCCCTCAACCTCATTTTGTGGGGGTTTTTTGTTTCCTTCCTTCTCTGATTTTGCCTTAATCCTTGCTGGATCTTCCATCCAGGCCCAGCCGCCCCCACCCCCCGCGCCTGCACCTTTGGACCCACACGGCTAAGCCTAGCCAGAAGGATACCTAAACCCCATCCCCTGCTGGTGCTGCACAGAGGAACTGCAGCCAATCCTCCCGAAACTGCCTGGCAACTACTGACGTATGCCCCCTCCCCCGCTGGTCTTCCTGATTGGCTGACAATCCGGAGGCCGTGACCAGGTTTCTGGAGCTAAGCTAGGAGAGACCTCCCAGAGGCCCTATGGCCTCACCTAGCTCTGTTCTTCCTCAGGGACCTGCTCCGAATAGGAGTCACTCTTGCGGGACACCAGAAGAAAATCCTGGCCAGTGTCCAGCACATGAAGTCCCAGGCCAAACCTGGAGCTCCAGGCGGGTCGGGAGCACCAGCCCCTCAGTACTGACCTGCACCTCCTCACGTGGCCCTGCAGTTCTGGAGCAGCAGGAAATCCTATGCTGGGGATACCACTCCCCTTTTGGGGGCAGAGTCAGGTGGGGACCCACGAGGCCCCCATCCCTACGCCCCTTTGGATTGCACTTTGAACCTATGGGGGTGGGGAGCTGGCTATTTGGAGAGACAGGATTTGGGGATTCTGCCATATGGGAGTGTAGAAATAACATGTCCTCCAGATGAGGAATCCCACACCCTTGGTGTGGAAGTCCTTCCTTCAGGATTGGGTGTGACCAGAGGGAAAGGAAGTGCCCATGATCTGCAAACTCCCAGGGGTGGTTGGATGCCATCCCTACAGCCTCTCTTTGATCCCTAACTAGGGCCCTGGGTGCCCCTCCTCACCTTGAAGGGCCGCAGACCAAAGAGAAGAGGGTGACAAGCCTTTAAGCTCTGGAGTGGAGCACCATGGTGGGAGGCGGGAAGGGGTGTCATGGCCCAGTGACGAAATCATTGGACTTGCATACCCAACCTTGCTGCTGTCTCCACCAAACTCAGTTTTTCCTTGTAAATGCCCCTCCCCCATCTGCTGCCTTCATATTGAAGGTTTTTGAGTTTTAATTTTTGTTTTTGGTCTTATTTCTCCTTCTCTTTTTTCCCGTTTTGTTTCTGTTTTGTTTTTTTACTGTCCTTGTCATAACTTTGTGTTAGAGGGAACCTGTTTCATTGTCACCTCCTTTGCCCAAGTTGAAACAGGGACCCATAATTGTGTCTATTTCCAGAACAGTGCCTTGGTCATGTCACAACCCTTAGACATTTCCCTGCCCAGCCAAGTACCCCCAAGCTGTGTTCATGAGGAGGTGGGGGTGGCAAGGTGGTGGTGGAAACCAGAGACAGACACCGGTGCTTGGAGGGGTTCTTAAATTATATTTAAAACCATTTTTTGTATAAATAAAAGAAAATGGGAAGTGCCGCAGCTCTGGCGGTGATTGGGAGTGGGGGATGGACTAGACTTACGAGGAAGTCTGGATATGGAGGGTTGGAGTTCTGGAGACTGGGCTGTGGGGGGCTGGGTGCTTAGTTCCCAGTCCCAGGGTGTGTTTGAGGTGGTGGGGTGGGGGCAGTGGGAGATGAGTCATTGGAAGCTGCTTCTAACGGCTCCAGATGGCTCTGCCAAGAGCCTGGGGCACCTCCGGGGTGGGGCTGCCCCCTCCTCCCTTGCCCTGGTTCCCTAGCCCTGGGAAGGTGCTTGGTTGAGGCAAAGAGGAAGCCTTGAGCTCACATCCCTGCTCTTAGCCCCCTGAAGTGTGTGTGTGTGTGTGTGTGTTGGGGGGGGGGGGGTCATCCACTGGGATGGGGGTCCAGTCAGAGGGAGACAGATGTGGACCAGATGTTGACAGCTGGGGTTGGTTTAAAGGCATGGGGGGAAAGTGTCTGCACTGGCTGTGGGGGAGGTGCAGAGCACTAGGGTGAAGGATGCAGGCCCCTCGGGTGTACACACACACACAGAGGTGCTGGGCTGGGTCAGGAGGACAATTCCCCGCCTACAAGATGCTGCCCAGGCAGGTTCTCCCAGCTTCCTGAGAAGGGGAGGGGGAAATTACTTGAATGTTTCACCCCCCCACTTCTTCCCAAACAGAAAGATGAAGACGAGTTAATCCCCATTGTTTTTCTCTGCCATCTTCTGTTTCTTTCCTCTCAGTATGCCTGCCCTTAGGGACACCTGCAGCGCCAGGCCTGGACTGGGGCAGCTTTGTGTAAGTGGAGCAACCGTTATTCACCATCTCAGTTGCCCCCTGTTGTGCTTTTGGGGTCTGTTCAGGGTCCTAAATCTTAGCTTCTGCCTCTCCCAGTCCAGGGAGCCTCTGATGGCAGTAATCCTATTTCAATACTCTGAATCCACTGTCCCCTCATCTAATGAGATAGTGCCCATATTATACCTCCAAGAGAGGGAGGGACTCTCCTTTCAGGATGGACCAGACACTTGGCTAGAGAAGGTGACCTTAGCTGGCCAGGAGAGGAATAGGTAAGGGAAGAGGGCACAGGTGAAGAACAGAGGTAAAGGGTTAAAGACTGGGTAAGGTTCTGTGCGGGTGAACAGCAGGAAGCCCCATGACACCCAGATTGAAGCCTGGTCAGCCCAATTCCAGAATTTCTGAGCCTGCCTGCCACACCCAGCTTGAGTGTGAGCTGCCCCCCCGCCCCCCCAACTAAGGGGCAGGGTGTCTGGCCATGGGCCCTATCTCCACCCAGGTTAGGTCTTGCTTCCTTAAAGGAAGGTGACTACAGGACCAGTAATCTCAGAGGATAAGCACAGAGTAAGGCTATCTTTCTAGAACTCAGTGTCCTGCCTGCTTTGGTGTCCCCAAACCCAAGTCCCCTGTCCCTTGGGATTCTATATCCTGACACCCCCCCACCCCCAGTTAGGAGCTTTTCTTTCCTTCTTTGAGCCCCAGCAGAATGCCCCACCACCACCACCCCACAAACAAGGATCTGCCTGGTGGGAGGTACCTGGCAGGGGATGAGGTCAAAATGTCCTTTGACCTCAGGCTGAAGTGGGCAGGCTGTCACTCCTAGGATGGAACTCAAGACTCCTCAGCAAGAGGCCCAGACCCCACCTCAGTGCCATAGTAACCCTAAGTCCCTTTTGGGAAACGGATGTGTGCAGAAAGCGGGGCCTCCTTAGAGGGGTACAGGCCTCTTCACCCTTTAGCTAAAACCACATTTCCCATTCTTAGCCTCTGCCCAGCGGCCAAGTCCTCTCATCAGGAATGTCGAACTCCTCAGGACCACTTGTCACTACCCCTGGTGGGAAGTGCAGAGGCCAAGTCCTCTGAGAATGAGGATTCCTGGGGGAAAAACATGACAAATGCCATCTCTTCTCCTGTATCCCAGAAGCCAGAGGGCCCGCCCTGAGTGGCTTTGCCTAAGGAAGAGACCTCGCCTCCGCAGACCTCCCCCTGGACATTTTGTGGGGCACTGAGCCCTATGCTCCCACACACCTGTCTCCTATTTCTTTCTTCAGATCCATCTCACAGACCCTTCTTCCACCATGATTATATGGAAATTCACATCTCAAAAACAAATAATTTTATTTTATCTCTTCTTTTTGAGAACTTAAAACTAAATGACTTTGAGGGCAGGCTCTGGAACAAAATCTGAGGAGAAAGTGAGAAAACCTGTATTAGAGGCTGACTCGACCCCCAGTGGTCAAGGTTCTGGGCGGTGAGGTTGGTTCTCACCTGTGTCTGCCAGCCTGTCTCCGTTCTGGCTCTGCATTTTCTCCCTAGAGGATGGTGGTGAACAGAAAGGGTCAGTGCCCATCCTCATGTTAACTCACCCCCAGCTCCCCCTCCTCATCCCCTCTCCCAGAACTCACTTCTCCCTCCTCCTCCTCTTCTTGGAAACACATTCTCTGATCACTGCCAGCACTATGACCACCGTGGGCACCAGCATTCCCAACAGGATGGCCACAAAGTTGGACACTTCTGGAATGGGATAAGAAGGGGCGGAGAAGACACTCCCTTTTGGTCTTCTGGTGCCACCCTGAAGGTGCATTCCCCTAAATCCCTGGTTATGGCTGGTTCTTCCTCCAGGAGGCTGCTGCCCCAGGGGCTCCAAGGCCTTAGTGCCACCCCCCAGGAACCTTTCTGTTTCTGACATACAATTCCCATAAGCCTTTTACGGGGATGTTCATTCAGTTAGCCCCTGGAGTCCAGGGCATCATCTCTGCCAGTACTTTTCAAAGAAGAATCCTGGAATTGCTTCCATCAGTCACCTGGGAGCTTGTTAGAAATGCAGATTTCTGGGCCCACTCCAGACCTACGAAATCCGAATCTCCTGGGGTGAGTCCCGAAATGAATGTGTTAAACAAGCCACCCCTCCTAGTCCTATCCTCCTCCCAATCTTAGGTAAGATAAAGTTGCAGAACCACTGGCCCAGAGACTCAAGGGAATTATATTTTTGGATGGGGAAAAAATAAGGAAAGATCTTGGAGAGGCCTAGAGTGATACAACAGGCGAAGTACCAATGGGGTGAGGCATGTAGACCTCAGGAGAGAGCTAGGGTTCAGAGATTCCAGTATGTGTGTGTAGAAGATGGGCACAGGGATTCAGATACTTGGAGAACCCTGTCTTGTTAATCCCTAGGGATCATATAATATATTATTATATATTATATAATACAGATTACATTAATACTATATTGCTTATCTGCTATATGTCTAGAATACCTATCTATTGGACATGAACATTATACACATAGAATGGTGGCAGTTGCTGGTGGGGAAGGGACTGTGAGAAGACAGGGCCAGAGATGAAGTTCTTACCTGGATTTTTGGGAAGTGGCACATCCCGAAGCTCCGCGCAGAGGTCTCCCCCATAACCTAGTTCACACTCACAGGTGAAGTGGGTGCCCTGCTCCTGACAGTGCCCGTCATTCTGACAGGGGTTCCGCAGACATGGGCTTTCTACAATGATCAAGGGGGTTTGGGAGAGGTGGTTCTGGGAGGACACCCACAGTCAGGGAGGGGGCTGGGAGCAGGGACCCCAGAAAATAAAGCAGCAGCTTTCATTCCTGGCTCTGCACTCGCTAGTCCTGGGCTCAGGCAAATTGCTCACCTCTGAACTCCTTTTTTTTTACCTGTAAATGGGGGAGATTATGCTACCAGATGGCTGAGTAAGGACTAAAGGAGATCATGGGAAGCTGACACTAAGTGCTTAGCAGATGCCCAGGTCCTTAACTTTTGCCCTTCCTAAGAAAGTGGCTAAGTGAGGAGTGGGATTAAATGGCACAAACTTCCTGGCATCGATGGAGAGGAGTCCTGGGCATAGGACTGTGAGGGACAGTCTTCAGTTTAGGGATGCCTGAGGTATGGAGGCAGCTTAAAGCCAAGGGGTGATCTGGGCTCACCTCGGAAGCAGCCGCGAGTGAGGTTCCCCAGAGTGCAGATTTCCCCAGCTTGGCAGCTGAAGGGCTCACACAGCAGGACCTCCGAGCTGGCACAGGTGCAGCGCTGAGAGCAGTCCTCAGTCACAAAGCTGTCACCCAGCTGGAGAGGGAAGAAGGGCTGGGAGGAGGAGGTCCGGTTTTCCCCTCTCCGACCGTCCACCCCCAGGGCCTCCCACACCCTCCTGACCTGGTAGTAGATGCCATTGTTGGTGCAGCCACAGAGGGCCAGAGGGAGGCTTTGGGCACCACTGTAGATGTAGCCTGGGAGGCTGGCACAGCCTTCCACACAGGGACCCTCACAGTCCCTGGGGGCCACCAGGTTGGCACAAGAGGCAGGGCAGGGTGTCATACAGCTCTGATAGATGGTATTGGCTGGGCATGCTAAGGCTGAAGGGACAAAGTCACAGTCAGAGAGTGACCAGCTGGGGCCAGCTCAACAGGTGTGGAGAGTGTGGGGCTGGAGCGGGGAACGAAGGTTCTGAAAATTGAGCATTGTTCCAACTGCCAAGGAGGTATAGACAGAGAACACAGCTCGGTACAGGCCAGGAAGCCAGACAGTGGGCTGGCTCTGAGCGTCTCTGTGACATTAAAGCATGTGAGGAACTGGAGGAGAAAAGATGGGCATTGGTAAGAAGGAGCAATGTGGGTGACAGGGTGGGGTTGCCTGGCAGAGGCAGAGAGGGCTTAGGTTGGGAGGACACTGACAGTGAGAATTGAGGGGTGGGGAACCCAGAGGGGAAGCCCCATGGGGACAATGGTGATTGTGCTGAGCTGACCAGAAGTAGAAATGGCTGAGTGGGATCAGGGGCCAGCTTTAGGGGAAGGTCAGTGCCTTACCACAGTGAGTGTGGTCCCGCCAGCTGGTCAGGGTGGTACCTGCCTCCTGGCAGATGATGGCATATCCGCTGAGAATCTGGCAGCGCAGCTTCTCCTGCTCTTTGGGGTCCCGGGTGACACACAGATCAAACATACAATGTCTAGGGGAGCAGCAGGGACAGTTGGGGGCTGTGAGAGATGGGGAGGAGGAGGCAAGGACACCCAGCCCTGAAGAATAAGGCCTGGAAGCCCCAGCAGACAGACATCAGGCAGTGTGTGTGTGTGTGTGTGTGTGTGTGTGTCTGGAGGGAGGCGGGTCACAGGATGAGAGGCCACATAGAGAGAAGTGAGGGAAACAGTGAAACTCAGAGACAGGCAGCAAGACCTCGTGAAAAGCAATTCCTAGTGTCCTGGGCTCCTGACTCACTCCTGGAAGGGCTCCGGGGCCACAATCTGGTGACAGGCAGCAAAAGGACCCTGGGGGTCCACCAGCACCCTGCACGCCTGGGTGCTGTTGATGAGCTCCAGCTGCTCCAGGTGGCATTCGGACACATCGAAGTCTGACTTCTCTTCTCCCGCCTCCTCCTCTTGGATGGACCTAGGCAGAGATGGCCAAGGGCCAGAGGAGGCCCGTGAATTTAGGAAGAACTGAGAGGGAGTGTAAAGGGAGGGCACAGGCACAGACTAGTATGCAGAAGGCAGGTGCCTCCCACAAGATTAAGAGAATCAGGTAAGTGTGTCTGGGCACTCGCCTGCCAGTTTCCTCCTCTGCTGAGGATATGGGGATGAGCAGGGTGTGGACAGATATTGGGCTGTTGCTCATGCCCTTGGAGCCTGGGCCTCCTTGCCCAAAGCCCCAGCCTTCTCACCTTGAGAAGCGGGAGTTGCCTCCCTTGATCTTCACCTCCCAACTGTTGCCAAAATAGTTGAGGTTCTCAGTGAGGACACCATTGGGCAGCATAAATTCATTCTTTATGTTCTTGTCAAAGTTCCCGCACAGGCCACACACAAGCCCCTGGTACGTGCTGGGCAGGGAGATCACTGCAGGAGGAAGAGGGCATCCAGAGCAAGACTCCCTACCTCTGCTTTCCCACCCCTCCTGAAGTCTCTGGGCTCAGGGCCCGACTCCCAGGCATCCCCTCACCATGCTCGGTCCATCTAAGATGTGGTCCTCCCACCTCTCCCCATCCCAGAAACATCCCTCTGCTCTCCTGTCTCTAGCCTCAGGTACCTGCGTTGTCCCTTCCATCAAAGCTGACAACCAACTCAAAGTCAGTGATCAGATATAGCCGATGGCCCCGAATGGAAACCTGCAGTTTCTTGCTGGGGTTGAAGGGGGTGTCCATTTTCTGGTTGTTGACCTGGAAAAGGAAGACGGGAGCCACAGGAGTCCTGAATCAACCTGCCCCCTGCCACTATGGCTCTGCCTTCCTTGGCACATTTCAATGTCTCTCTCTCATTGATGTGTCATTTCATGGAATGAGACACCCTAGTAGGCTTCACTATCTGCATGGCAAAGGCCTCCAGATCTGCTGCCTTTGACCTTTCCTTGCAAAAACATTGGCAAACGGATGCCCCTGGAACTCCCCTAAGCCAGCTCCACCTTCACACTGCAGGCTCTCTCCTTCTCTCTTGCCCCCTCTCTCCAGCCTTTTGTTTAATCCCGTGCCCTCCACTGCCTCTCCCCACGACATGAGTGTGACACTAACTCTGACTTCTATAACCAGGCAGCAGCTATCAGGAACGTCCCAGGGAACATGGAATCCTAGCTTCACCTGCTCCAGGTGGCCTCCCGTGGCCCAGGCTGCTTCCCCAGAATCTCCCAGCCTGGCCCGGCTCTTACCACAAGTTGCAGTTCAGCCTGGAGCTGGACTGTATAGCCGTAGACCATCACGATGATTTCGTGCAGGAAGATCTGGCTGAGGGGCATATATATTTTGTTACGTCCCTCCACGACCAGGGGTGCCATGCCACTGGGGAGCATGTCCACGGTCTTGATCAGAATGTAGGTCATGCGGCCCTGGAAGCGGTAGCTAAGGCCATCGAATGTGCGATAATGGGGGTCTCCAAACACTGAGCATTGTTCCCACTCTGCCAAGAAAGGTAAGCGCTGAGAAGGCACCCTGCCCAGCTATAACAGTCCCCAGAATTCCTCACCTGCCCTGATGTCTCCTGTCACCCTCCCTCTTAGCCCTAGCTCCCTTGATACTTGAGCTGAAACTTTCCCCTCTCCCAGTTCCATTAAAAACCCGAGAGGATCTCCTCGTCCAGTTCCCTCTTTTTGGCCTTAAAGGAGTGAATCTCATCGAGGGTCATGACTTGCAGGCAGCCATAGAACTGGAGAGACTCAGGATGAGAACCCAGGCCCACACCATGCCTAAGCTTGCCCCCTTCTTTCTCCAGAGCTTCCCAGCCTCAGCCCTCTGGCCCTGCCTCTTTCTGCCTCCCCTTATGCCTCCCTTACTGGGGGCGATGCATCTGCTGTTGCCGCTGGCGTCAGTCTTGCAGTGAGAGCCAGAGGGGCAGGTGAAGGGCTGGCACTGAATACCTCCTGCTCTGCAGGTACAACTCTGGGTGCAGTCACTGGAGAGCCAGGTTTTCCCTGCCTGGGGAAGCCACAGGAAGAGCAAGGGAATAAGGAGAGAAAGGTCAGTTCTTTTTTTTTCTTTTTCCTCTTTATTGATTTTGGAGAGAGAAGAAAGGAGAGGGAGAGAGGGATAGAAACATCGATAAGAGAGAACATCAATTGGCCACCTCCTACATTCCCTCCACTGGGCTTTTGGCCCACAACCTCGGCATGTGCCCTGACCAGGAATTGAACCAGCGACCTCTTGGTGCATAGGCTGATGCTCAACCACTGAGCCACATAGGCCAGGCGGGAAGGGCCAGTTCTCCTTCTTAACCCTTCAGCCCAAGCCCGCAGTCTAAATGGCTTAATTGGCACAGGCCAGAGGCAGTTATGGAGCCATTTACACACTTAGGTTTTTGTACCACCCACTAGAGGCATTGTGCTTGGTGTCTTACATATGTTGTTCAGGAGTTAACTACTAGACCCATCTTACAGATGAGGAAACTGAGGTAACACAGTCCCCTAGGATCCAAACCAAGGCCTTGCTCCTCCAAATACACTGTGCCATATCCCAGGTTTTGGATTCCTCAGATCCAAACCCAAACCACACACCCCCAGCCCAGGCCTGGCTGGAGACCACCCTGCCCTGTCACCCCAGGCAGGGCCAGCCATAGAGACATGGGCACTCCAGGCTGTTAGAGGCTGGGGAAAGGAGAAAGCACCATCCTCAGGGTGTGCTGTTCCCATCCCAACTTCCTTCCCCACTCACTGGGAGGAAGTCGCCCTGGGCATCCCTGCAGCCACACTGAGTCCTGAGCACACACTGTTGCTCACTGAGCACGTAGCCGGGCTGACAAATGCAGCCCTCCTCGCAGCTGGAGGGGTCTGTGGTGTCCTCGCACTGGTCTTTCGGGTCCCAGCAGGAAGGTGAGCAGGGCTGAACACAGGGTGTATAGGTGCTGTGGGTGGGGCATTCCAGAGCTGCGAGGAAACACGGTGAGGGGTAAAAACTCAGCGATCGAGGGCTGTGCCAGGGCCCCAGGGCTTTCTGAGTTCAGAATGGAAGACAAAAGATTGGAAACAACTGGAAAGTCCATAATAGGAGACTGGTTAAATAAATTATGATAAATGAATTATGATATAATAGTAGAATATTACTCAGCTGCAAAACAAAGTGAGACGTGGCTATCTGACATGGAAGAGAATATCCGATATGGTAGGATCTGCAAGTTAGATTGTCAAGTGAAAAAAAAAATAAAGTGTAAAATATTGTGTTTCAAATGTTATTTCTAAGAAAATAAGGAACATAAATGTGTATTTATATGTGTATAAATACATAGACCTTTGGAAAAATACTGAGACGCTAAGAGCAGGCTAGGAACTAGACCCATGGGGTCAGGGTGGGAGGAAAGCTTCGCTGGGACTCTTTTAAAATTCTTAAAGTTTTTGAACCATATGAATGCATCACATACTAAAAACACTTTAATCACTGTTTTAAAATTTAAAAGGTTCAAGAATTAGACAGTGGTGATGGCTGCAGAACCTTGTGAAGATCTTAAAAGCCAGTGAACTGTTCACTTTAAAAGGAGTGAATATTTTGGCATGTGACTAATCATTTTATTATTTTATTTTATTTTAAAGAGCTACAGAAGAATGCCGAGAAGTCTATCAGGAGGGGAGAAGAACTTTCCAGGTGCAAGGAGCAGTGTGTATAAAGGCAGAGGGGTGTGGAAAAGCAAGACCTGTGTGAGGAGTGGGCTCATCTGGTGTAGGTGATGGCAGGTGCTCAGGAAAGGGGTGTGCAAGGACAGGCTGAGGGCAGTGTGCAGGATATCGTACATCTCAGACAGGAGCTTTGACTTAATCTTGCAGGCAATAGCCATGCAGGGGGTAACACGACCACATAGCCTTTGGAAAGACAGTGTTAGTGAAGTAGATGAGAAGCAGCCCGTACTGTCCTGGTGGGAGGGGCACAGGCTAAGAGGTTATTGTAAACAGTGCTCAGCAGAAACAGTGAAGTCAGAAATAGGTCAGAAAAAATTAGAAAGAACAGGGCAGTTTTGAGGGACCCACAGACAGAAATAGGCTTTGGGGACTATTTGGGGTAACCACAGAGGACACTTACGGCAGAAACTGCTGTTTCTCCAGATTGGGGGCTTGAGCCCCTGAGCCTGGCAGGCTGCCCCAAAGGCTTGCAGAGACTCGCAGAGGGCACGGTTTAGGCTAAACTCACAGAGGTTGTGCATACAGTTGAGCAGAAAGGGTGTAGGGGCCACATGGGCAGCACATTTAGTCCAGACCGGAGACTGAAAGGCCTCTTGGCATTGCTCCAGAGGTCTCTCTAGGTGATCTTGCCTGCAGTTTGCAGTCAAAGTTTCCTGATGTTCTACTTTCATCCTCATCTGCTCATCTATTTCGTTATCTTGTTGGCAACTGGGAAGGGAAAGGGATCATCATAGGAATAGCCACTGCTGCACCTATGAAAATTATATGATGCTCCAAATGACCCTGAAGACACCTCTTGTCTTCATTGGGAAGCTGGTTTGAGCTCTGGCCACCTTCCATGCAGCCACAGTTCCCTCCCATGTTTTGAAGACAAGAAAGGAAGATATTTATGTTTCCCCAAATAGGTTCCCAGAACCCAGAAGCCATTCCCAGTCAAGTTACACACATAAAGGAAGTGCTCCGATCTCCCTACCCCAGGTGTGCCACATGACCTAGAATCCCAACTCGTGTTCCTATGAAAAGGCAGAAAGATAGTGGATACAATTACTTTGGGTTGGCCTCCTTATCTTGCCAACTATCCACAAATTCACTGTCATTCTGGGCTAGTTCGTCATTGGGCATCATTAGTTCATCCTCTTCCTCACCATTGAAGTTTCCACACAAGCCACAGACCTGGGTGGACAGAGGGAAGTCTCAGCATGCAGGGCAGGAGAGCACATCTCATTGGCACCCCCTTTTCCACTCTAAAGAGAAAGAAGCACTCAGCATCCCTCTCCTGTTCTGGGGAGTAACCTTTTGGGTCTAGGGCCCCTCCCCCTGTGGGGGGGGCTGATTCCTCTAGGAGAAGAGTAAGGGTTTTCTTTACCTTTCCATAATAGGCTCTAGGTATTTCAATCTCTAAGAACCCACTGTCATCAAACTTGATTTGCAGCCCAATGTAAACTCTGAGCATGGTGTAGATGCCACTGACAGAGATGGTGACACCCCGGATCTGGTTGTTCGAGGGAAGGATGACCTGTTTGCCATTGATCTACAGAGGAGAGCAGAGCACATCAATAGGAAGATCAGAAAGCTCTCTCCCCAGAGCTCACTTCCTTTGTCCCCGCCCGTGTCGCCCAGCTCACCAGCACACGATGGTCCTTCTGCAGGGTGATAAGGGAATCAAAAATGTTAATGTTGACCTGACGGAGGTCAAAAGCAGGGGATTGGCCTTCCGTCTCCCCATTCTCGCCACTGATCTTGAAGAAAGGCAGTTCCATGGTAAAGTGGCACGTTTTTGCCAGGACATAAGTGCAGGTGTTCCTGATGGCATGGTAACTACCATCAAAGCTCACATAGTGGGAGTTGTCTGAGATCCGGCACACCCCCATCCCTGCAGGAGAGAGAGGTGGCTGAGGAGTGCCCAGCCTCTCCCAAGAACAGCCATTCTCTTCACCTTCAGGGAAAGGAGGTAAAGGCAAGGGGGCCTCCGAAGGGAAGGAAGACAAAGAAAAAATCAAAACGCAAGGACTAGGCTGGCATGAGGCCTGGGGGTGGAATGGGTATTATTGTGCCAGGAAGAGACTTCTAATGTCCCATCTAAGTTCATATCTGCTAAGGGAGAACCATGAGTGACTCCAAGAAGCCCTTTCCAACAGACAGTGCAATGATTATCTTTCCCCACCAGAAGCTCTTTGGTATAGCAGGGTCACACACTGGAGTGTTTATAGATGGCAGTGAGGAGAATATGGAGGGAAATTGAAGAGAGCTTTTCTCTGTGGCTGTGGGGTCCTTCTGCATGCTCAGTGGCCTCATACCTGCATAACTGCAGCGTATCAACCCCTCCAGGGGCCCACATAGTTCAGTAGGCTTGCAGGAGGTTTGGAGGCAGGAGATGTTGTTGTGGATGGAGCAGGAACAGAGTCTGGAGCAGGTGTTGTCCGTGTACCAGCTCTCCCCAACCTGTGGGGTATGAGCATGCAAAAGAAACTTGGAAGCCAGAGACAGACTAGGGCCCCACCACCTTGAACTCCCCATGAGGCTTGCTTCACTCAGTGATTACCTTCATCATTACCCTCTCAGCCTTTTGGTTCTGGGCTTACTCTTCCACTCCCAGTACTGGCCTGCCTTACGCCTTCTATCCCCAAACTGGTAGAGCTTGGAAGGGCCTCTTACCGGGTGGTAGGAGCCCTGGGGGTCGGTGCAGCCACACTGGCTGTAGGGTACACAGGAGGTTCCACTCAGGACATGGCCTTTTTGGCACTCGCAGCCCTCGGCACAGGGCAGTGCTGCTGGGCAGTCTCGTGGGGTGTTCAGGCTGAGGCAGGTGGCTGGGCAAGGGTTGGTACAGGTGCTGTAGCTGCTGCCAGATGGGCACTTCAGAGCTAAGAAGAAACTAGTGTTAGGAAGGGCTGAGTGATTTCCAGCTTCCTGACCTTTGGGCATCAAGAAGTCCTGGGAATGTTTATTAGATGAGTAGATAAACAAAATGGGGTCAATCCATACAATGGAATATGATTCAGCCTTAAAGAGAAGGAAATTCTGGTACATGCTCCAACATGGAGAAACCTTGAGTACATTGTACTGTGTGAAACAAACCAATCACAAAAAGACAACTACTGTGTGATTATGCTTACATGAGGTCCCCAGAGTGGTCAAATTCACAGAGTTAGAGGAGAGAAAGATGGGTGCCTGAGGTTGGGGTGGGAGGAATGGGAAGTTAGTGTTTAACGGGGACAGAGTTTCAGATTGGGAAGATGAAAAACTTCTGGCGATGGATGGTGGTGATGGTAGCACAACAATGTGAATGTGCTTAATGCTATGGAACAGGACACTTCAAAATCTTTAAAATGGGCAATTTTACATTATGTATATTTTACCACAATTTTTAAAATGAGCTCCTGGGAAAGAAGGAAAAAAGGGAACAGGGCTGGCTGAGGTAAGAGGGGAAAGATGCAGTAACCAAATGAGGGCAGAACTGTTTGGTGAGGTGAGAATCAGATGGAAGAGGCTCCCAGTGCAAGGAGACAAGTAGAAACTTGAAGAAACTGGAAAATGGAGAACAGAGGAGATCCCCTGTAAGGACTGAGAATCAGGCTGTGAAAGGAAGAGCAGAGGAACAGAATTTAGGGAAAGGAGGAGCGAACAGGTTCGAGGGGGACTCCTCCAGGCTGCAGGAGTGATGGTCAGGTCACTCACGGCAGAAGGTGCTGTTCCGCCAGGCAGGGGTCTGGCCAGCCTGGGCACACAGAGATGCATAGGCCTGCAGGGAGCGGCACAGGGTCAGGACATCACCATTGGTCCCACACTGGCCATGCACACAACTGGCGAAGCTGAAGTCCGGGGATACCACCTTGTGGCACTGGGAGAAGGGTCCTGGAGGATAAAACCACAGGTGTGTGAGAAAAGAGCAGAAGCCTGGGAAAGGAGCAGAACCAGGCAACTGCTTGGGGCAAATTCAACATCCATTTCCATCAAAACCTGTATTTACTGAGAACCTAATTTCTGAGACGCAAAAAAAAAAAAAAAAAGGCTTATCCATCAGGCTCCCAAGAAGGAGCACGCCATCACTGCATTTCCATCTGCCTTCTTCCTGACATCCTATTTCATGTCTCACTCCTCCTCCCTCCCTGACCAATCCCCCTCCTCTTTCTTCTGCCCTGAGGAGAAAATAAGGGTCAGCAAGAGATGAGGATTACCCAGATGGTCGATTAAGATATTACAGTTCTTATTCCAGGTTTCTGTCACTTCATTCCCCTGGCATTTGGGAGGCTTGCCACCTGAGAAGAAGCAGCTAAACAGAAAGAGGGGGAAAAGATGGAAATTTAGGGTTGGGGAAAACTTCTCAAAAACTGAAACAAAAGTGGAGAGAAAAACAGGGAGAAGAATAAGAGGAGAAGGGAACAAAGTGGTGCCCTCAGGTAGGAAGGTCAGAAGATACAGCAGCAGGAAGGAAGGTTAGATCTCAGTAGACTGCCCTAAAGGTTCTCCAAAGAGACAGATCAGTAAGCACAGGAGAAATCAGCAGGAAGGGGCATGGGAGGTCCAAACCATCTTTCATCAAATCCAGTCTTGGAGAGATTGGGGACATAGAGGACACCTGCAGGCTGTCTGCTGAGGCTCTTCCCCGTGCCTGGAACCCCTAATTCCAGCTCACCCAGATTCAGAGTATTCATCTGACTTCCATGCAACCCCCAGTTGGATGGAGCTGCCTGCAGGCTTTCTATCTGGTTTCAGATCATCATCCAAGCTGTTGTTGTTGTAATTTCCTAGAGGAGGGAGCAGTTAATAGAGGCCACAGAAGTACCTAGCAAGCAGACCCAGCCCCAGGACCACCACTTTTCTTCCCCCAAGAGGCTCCCTCACTCTGCACTCCACAGACCAATGTTAACTTCTTCATCTTCAGCTTCCCTTAATACCCACCCTCCCGTCCAGCCCATGAAGCAGTGGACAAGCACTTAGGATACCTAATTAAGTGTGTGTAAAAGCAAGGAACTGGGAAGGTTCCTTCCCATTGTTCTGATTTTGCCCACAGGTACCCAAGAGACTCACCGCACAGCCCACAGAGCCGGCCAGCATAGGTGGAGGGCACCGTCACTTTGACTAGGTGATTTCCATCATAGCGAACTTGAAGCCCAAAATCCGTGTAGAAGAGAATAAAAGAGCCACTGGGCCTAATGCTTACCCGACCCTGTGCAGGCCACACAGGCAGGGTCACCCGGCGACCATTCAGCTACAAAGGCAGGGAGGACATGGTAGAGAAAGGCATTTGGAAGGAGGATAACAACAGGACCAAGATTGGAGCAGGAGGGGTACAGAGGGCATGTCTCAGGAACTGGGGTTGGGTCTGCTATGGGGAACTCTCAGGGGCTCTGAAAGCCAGACAGGCAGGTTTGTGGGCAGGGAGGGGCAGAGTAGAAGTTCTGAGCAGGGCTGTGGTATGGGGCCTGGGGAGGTAGGCAGAGGCACGTACCACAACCTTGTGGCCTTTGATCAGCGAGATTCTGAGGTTGAAGACCTGTATGTGGACGGCTTTTACATAGGAGACCTCCAAGTTCCCATCTCGGAACTCATTGGTGGTGCTCACGACAAAGTAGTTCTTGAAGGATCTCAACCAGCAAAGCTTGGTGAGGATGTAGCTGCAGGTGCCCATGAAGTGGTACAGGGCTCCGTCAAATGTCAGGTAGTGGGGATCCCCTGAGACAGTGCAGGTGGCAGACCCTGGGAAGTAGGAAATAGAGTTCAGAGAGGTGCACTAACCCTGAGGTTCCATCCTGGTGAGTCCATATTGGGGCGGTCCCCATAACTCATCAGGTGGTCAGCTTGGCTTGGAGAGGTCAAGAACAGGGACTACCCCAACTTCACTCTCTGGATCCTTGAAGACACTGCTCTGGTTCTAGGCAACTGCCTTCCAGCCCCTGGATATGCTCCAGCTCTCTGGGAAGCCTGCTTTAGGGCAACGTCATGCCCTTGCTTGAGGCTACATGGGCAGCCCCACTGCTCACCTTCCACCTGACTGCTCACCCTTGGCATGGCAGCCATAGATGCCATCCTGCAGACTACAGACCTCCTGGGCCTGGCACCTCCAGAGCACACAGCGAATTTTGTTGTTGCCCTCACAGACACAGAGCTGTCTGCAGTCTGGCTCATACCACTGCTGCCCTACCTGGAGGAATAAAGGAAGGAAGAAAAAAAGCTATTCCCAGGTCTGATTATTAGCCCACTGCTATTCACATCATTGGCTTACTCACTGGGGAGGCATTCCTGTCTTTCCAAAGCTCCAGGATTGGTTACAAAAGTCTCATATTCATTCACTAATCCAATCATTCCATCATCTGTTTGTTCCTTCATTATTTCAACAGATATTTATGTTTGCGTGGTACTAGGCATTAGGAATTCAGTAATGAACTGGATGGATGATGTCCCTGCCCTAGGAGAACTCACAAGCCAGTGGGGGCAGTAAACAAGTAAACTGACAGATCATGTGCTCCAACACAATATGCACCCAAAGAAGACAAGCAGAGAACCCATTGAGAGTCTCCTGCTATCAACACAGACAGTAAGTGCTTGCTACAAGAGTTTAGAGGAGTGCTTTCTGACTTTGCCTATCAAGAAGGTTTTAAGGGTCCAGCTGGTGTGGCTCAGTGGTTGAGTGTCAATCCATGCACCAAAAGATCACCAGTTCAATTCCTGGTCAGGACACACGCCCTGGTTGTGGGTCTGATCCCTAGCGGGGGGCTTGCAGGAGGCGGCCAATCGATGTTCTCTCTCATCAATGTTTTTTTTAAATTAATTAATTTATTTTTTTGGTACATGCCCCTAGCGGGAACCAAACCTGGGACTCTCTGGTCGGCAGGCCAACGCTCCAACCGCTGAGCCAAACTGGCCAGGGCTCTCTTCGATCTTTTTATCTCTCTCCCTCTCACTTCCTCTCTCTCTAACATCAATAAAGGAGGGGGGGAGAAGGCTTCAAGAAAGAAGCAGCATTTCAATAGGGCCTCAAAGGAGGTAAAGAATTCCTCTACAGGCATGAGTGGCTAAGTGGCTGAAGGCAGGGCAGGATGATAGGGGCTGAAAAAAAGATGAAATTGAGAGAAAAGCAGATATAGACAGAGAGCATTCAGTGTGCCTGAAACAGTGGCCAAGGGGAAGAGATCCAAGTGAACCTCAGGTGGTAGACAGTTTTGATAGACATCCGTATCGTCCCAGAACTTGGGTGAAGGACAGGCAAAGGAGGACTTGGGTGGACAGACAAAGAAGGACTTGGGTGAAGGACAGGCAAAGAAGAAAGACAGAAATGACAAAGGTGAGGATCTGGCTCCAAGTGCTGTCTCGGAGACAACTGTGAGAACAGGGACCCGGGACGGAGCTGAAGAGGGCCTTGGTAAGAGAGAAGATGGTACTTGGAAAGAATGCAGGGAAGACACAGATTCAAGAAAATGACTCAGGGACATAGAGGCAGGGAAGATGGGAGGGGAGAGAAGCAGGGGTCTCAGGCTCTGCCAGGTAGTGTAAGCAATAACTGCTATGATTCCATTCCTGTCTGCTTGAAAGGTACTAGAGCTGAAGGAAGAAAAAAGGAAAGGAGATCCAAACCAGAATTTCCCTATTCCCAGCCCTGCCGGCCCTGCCACACCCCTCCTCTCTTGCTGCAGACTTCAGATCCCAGAAGAGGGCTTTCTGGTTGCATGGCTAAGAGGCCCAACCCCAGCAGCTCACCGTGAGGTATCGGCCTGTGGAGTCAAGGCACCCACACTGGGATTGGGGGACACACTGGAGACCACTGAGGATGAAGCCTGGGTTGCATTCACAGCCTTCTACACATCGGTTCTGGCAGGACATGCCAGAGAACTTGGAATGGCAGGTGTCGGGGCACAGCTTGGCACACATGGTGTACGTGCTGTTGGGTGGGCAGTCCAGAGCTGGTGGAGGGAGAAGCACAGGTGAGAAGGGCATGAGACAGGGGAGGACAAGAGAAAGGGGGTCCATAGCTTGTATATAGTCCAGAGTTCAGAAGACCCAGAGCTAAAGGCTTCTGCTCAGGTTGAGAAGAAGAGAGGAACTGGGAGAAGCATGACTGAGGAGTTCAGCTCCTCCCTGGGAGAAGAGGCCTGCAGAGAGCTACCAAGAGGTATGTCTGTGGGAGCAGACTGATCCAAGAACCTCAACCGCACTGCTTTGTAGACATGTTCAATGTAAATGGTCAAGGTGGAGGAGATCTGGATTGAGTGCCCATGTGTTCTTGATCAAGGGCATGGCCCTGCCCTAAAGCAGGCTCACCAGAGAGCTGGGTCATATCAGCAGCTGTAGCAGTCACGGTGCAACCTCCCAGCCACAAGTCTGTATTTTATGTGTGTATCAGGCAACCTGGGCAGGCATACACCCATAGGCATTGCTCTGCATAGCATCAGGCGGCTGGAAAGGCTTTCTGAGTTCACAAATGACTATAATTTTTCTCAGTGGTTATTTCTGACTCTGCAGATTTCCCCATCCACATGTGGAAGTGAGGGGTTCAACCAGGTGCCCCCAAGCCTGTGCTAACACTCTCAGATGCTGGCCCTCTGCTCCAATATGTGTCTGAAGGAAGCATTCCCCACTCCCTCCATCCTGCTTCTCAGCACAACTCACCGCAGAACCGGGGTTGTCTCCAGGGCTTCACCATGTAGCCAGCATTCTGGCATGTCGCAGTCAAGGCTGCCATATGGGCACACAGCATCTGCTGCAGCCCCTGGAATTTACACATGTCAAGCACACAGTTGTTGAAGAAGAAAGAGGCCATGAGGTGAGGCAGGCATCTCCTGTGGAGAGAAGCCAGGTCAGAGGAACTGTGGGGGCAGAGAGGGCAGAACTTCCTGCCTTGGAGGACCCCAGGTGCTAAGCCCTCCCCCCACACTCATCCTGCCCCCTTCATACTCAAATGCTCCATGGGAGACTATGATCCGTCCACAGAACTCTGGCCTTGATAGAGTGTTCTGCAAGGCTGAGTCACAAGATGGGGGATTTGCCTTGTTCTTCTGGCACCTAGAAGAGACCCATCCCAAATGCCCTAAGGGCCAAGGCTGACTCCATTTGGCTCCTACCCCAGCGGTCTCCCGGCTTTCAGTAACCCCTAATAGAGAACACTTGAACACCAAGCCCTAAAGGAGATGGAACCACTGATGGTAGGGGTGAGTGTATTGGTAATGAGTTCATGGACTTGGCTGGAACAGAAGTGGGGGTGTTCAGAAGAAGAGAGAGGAGAAAGGGGGTGATGCCAGTCAGGGTGCTTGGTTCTTAAAAGTGGCAAAGGAGAAGGAGGGTGGTGACAGAGATGGAGACATCCTCACTAACTTCTTGTCTGTATCCTCTGCTGTCTGCCAGCTGTTGCCCAGCTCCTCCGCATCTCGTGCTGGCCTGCCATCAGGCATCTGGTTGTCATTGCTACTGTCGCCATCATAGTTGCCACAGAAACCACAGAGTTTGCCATAGTAGGTGCTGCGAGGAGGAGGTATTAATGGAAAGAAGGGGCCTTAGTTATCTGAGGGGCCAGAGCAGAGTGGGATAAGTGAGGAGGGAAGAGAAGTAAGAGGTACAGACTCAGATCATGGGTTCCATGTCAGGTGCCAGGCACACAAGGATCTCACAACCCTCACCCCTTTACAGTCTCCCCTCCTCTTCTTTTGCTCACATCTCATCTTCCCGCAATAACAACTTTTTTTCCCCCATTGATTCCAGAGAGAGGAAGGGAGGGGGGGGGAGAGAGAGGAGAGAGAGAGAGAGAGAGAGAGAGAGAGAGAGAGACAAAGACATCAATGTGAGAGAGAAACATTAATCAGTTGCCTCTCACATGCACCCCGACTAGGGATCAAACCCAAAACCTGGGTATGTGCCCTGACTGGAAATCGAACCTGAGACCCTTCGGTACATGGGATGACACTCCAACCAGCAGAGCAACACCAGCCAGGGCCATAAGAAACCTTTTGCTGGCTCTAAGACATCCCAGGTTTTTTTGGCATTTGTTGTTCACTATTTTTATAAAGTCTTTCCCTTGTGAGCCACTCTTCCTTGAAGACTGAGATCAAATTGGCACTCTTCTGAAAGCTCCCACAGCCCACTGACTCCTAGTACATCCCCGACACATTGTGAGTATACCCTGCTATTATCCACTGCCCCGACACCATTTCCTCCTGTCGCCTCATCCAAAGGGAGGCCTGCCAGTCGAGCGAGGTGCTTCCTACCTAGACGGAGAATTAGTGGCTGGGATAGAAGGGTTCCTGTGAGAGGGAGGGACAGAGTGTGGAGAAGTGGCAGCTGCCTCACCTGGGCACACTCATAAACAGCTGCTGGTCACCATCCCATCTCACCCGCAAACCAAATGCAGTCTGCAGCTCCACAAATCGCCCACTTGAAGTCACGAAGATGCTGTTAGAAAGTATGACTGGGAGGGTGACTTGTTGACCCTCAACCTGGAAAGTGGGGCCAAGAAAATAGATGGAGAGACAGATCCGAGGGTCAGGAAGACCCCAGAACACTCCCACGTCCACCCTCCACAGCAATCGGAAAGACTTCTTCACTTGGGTTGCTCTGGAGCCCATCCCTGAGAGGTCTAGAAGCTGCAGGAACTGGCTGCAGCAGCCCACAGGTGGCCCCAGCAGCTGAACAAAAGATGGACTCACCAGCGTGCGCCTGCCCCTGAGCAGGGTGATGGTGGTCTCAGGCAATGTCACGTAGATTTCACTCAGGCAAGACATGTCTTCGTGTCCTCGCTCCTCATTCTTTGCTGCCACCCTGAAGAAGGGCTCTGGTTGGGAGAGGAGTGAAGAGCGTCCAGGAGCTCATGAACAAGCATTTCTGAGCACCCTAGAGGGAAGTGCTCACACCTGGCACTGTGGGAATAAGGAACCACAGAGACGCAGGCTCTGCATTACAAGAGGGAAGCCCAGATCCACATGTGAGTGAGGCGGACTGTCCGCCAGTCTCCTCCCCTCAGTGGCCCGGGATGTCCTCCAGAATGCAAGTTTGTGCCTTTTTTGCCACTTTGCCAGGTGAGCCTCTCGATAAAAGCTGGCCAAGGTTCAGTCAGCCAGGAAAAAATGTGGGGGTGGCTGCAAGGTCTCAATGAACAGTGTCTCCACACAAATTGAAATAAATCTTCAGCTTTTTATATTTTACAATTAACACATGCTATTTAATTTAGGTATTGGAAGGAAAACATGAGAGAGAAATTCAACAATGGCATTGTGCTATTAACCAATGTCACTTTGATAAATTCAATTAAAATACTGCAAGAAAAAAAAAAGAATGGCACTGTACATGTTAGGGTTGGAAACTGAGGTATAAACATCATTGACTTTGTCTGAGTGCAAAGCCTAATATATTTTTCTCACCCTTTTTATAATAAAAGACTCTATATCTCTTGAAAGCCGTTTGTTGAAAATTGTCATTATACTTTATATTTCAACCTTAAGTTTTGAAATTTTAACGATGTCTTGGATTTGTTGTGTAAGAACTTTGATCAGATGCAACTTCCAAACCTGAGGAAAATCCTTTTGAGGTGAATGTGCAGAATTTTTACCATTCTATGTGCCTCATGAACCTAAAATACTTGAGTTTGAATTTTTCTTTCTTTCTTTTTCTTTTTTTGGTATATGTGCTGCCAAAGCGAGCACTAATTTTTTGTTTTGAAATAATTTCAGACTTACAGGAAAGTTGCAAAAATAGTGCAAAACATTCCAGGATAGCCTTCACCCAGATTTTGCAAATGTTAACATTTTACCCTATTTGCTTTATTATTTTCTCTCTCTCAAATCTTTCCCTCACTCCTCTGCCTACTTATTATCTATCTATCTATCTATCTATCTATCTATCTACCTACCTACCTACCTACCTACCTACCTATCAATCCATCCTCCCACCCACCCTTGGTAAAAAGATAAAAAAGGAGAAGTGTCTTACGGTACATTTCCCCAGCAGTTTGGTCTTAAGAAAGTCCTTCCTCTGAGTTAAACATGTCAACCCTTACTTTTCTTGCCTTTCCCATTTGCTTCCATGCCTAACTGTTCTGTCAGCCCCTTTGTTCAGTCCATAGGGGCATTTCCAGGATCCTACCTGTTGAGTTGCCACAGAGTTGGGCCAAGATGTAGGTGCATTTGCCCATGAAGCTAAAGTGCCTCCCATCAAAGGTGAAATAATGAGGATCTCCATAGACAAAGCAGGTGGCAGTGCCTGCCAAGGGAAGAAAGGGGACCATGGGAAGCATGTTCATCGGGCCAGGTCCCACGGCCACCTCACCCACCCAGTGGCACATCCCAGCTTCTCTTGTCAAGGGAAGGATTGGAACCTTGGTGTCATACCCACTCTGAAAGGCTAGTAGGTTGTGAACAAAATAAGGGGAGGGTCTCACCATGGGGGTGACATCCATACTGGCCGTTCTTCAGCTGGCATACCGTGTGTTTCCCGCATTGAGATGTTTGACACTCTGTCTGACTACCAGGCCAGCAGCGACAATGTTCTGTGCAATTAGGGCCGAACCACTCTGCCCCAGTCTGGGAGCAAGGGATTTGGGGTCACAACACTACATAGATCTTGGGTAGATCCTATCATCACATGCTATAGTCCCCTTCTCCTCCGCTGTACCTGCCCTGATCTTGCTCACACTTTTCCTCTTCCCACCCCCTACTATATAGTCCTGCTCACCACAGGACATTTGCACATGCTGTTCTCTCATTCTGGAATGCTCTTCCTTCTCCCTCTTTCTAAATCATTCTTAGGCAGCCAGCAGGTTCAATTCAAGGGATGTTACCTTCTCAGGAAGACTCCAGACCTCCCTGACTAGGGGGCCTCCTTATAGAGTGAGCTGGGTACCTTTCCTTCCCAGGACTTACCATAATTGCACTTTCATATTCATTTTTTGGGATTATTTTATTATAATCCCCCTGTGAGGGACCATGTCTATCTTTACTCACTACCTTAGCCCCAACACATAAGCACAGTGTCGGGCACAGAGCTCTCATTCAATAAATATTTGCTGAATGAGTGAAAAAAGATCCAATGTGTCCCAAAGAATCCAACAGTATTAGGAGAGCAAGGACCATGCTCTGTTCATGGTGACTCCCAATGACAGAAGGGTTCAAAGTACTCAATAAACATGCAGCGAATGCATAAGTGGATATGTAATATGTTAATACATGTCTCCCAGGGCAGGGAAGAGATTGGTGCTTGATGCTGGCAGCTACAACAGATCTTTCTACCCAGGCTGCAGCTGAAGCTAATCCTAACACTGACACAAGGGTACCCAGGAGACTGGTTAAGGGAGATGAGGTGGGGAGAAAGCCTCTGAAGAGAAAAGTAGGGACTCTGATGACCAAAGGGAAGAACACCTGGACCTGAGAAGAGGCACTAGACACTAATAAATAGCTGAAACGCACTGTTAATTAATAGGCTGCATACGATAGTTATCATAAATTGCTAATAATAATAATTATGCCCTGGCCAGTTTGGCTTAGCAGTTAGAGTATTGACCCATGGATCAAAGAATCTCGGGTTCGATTCCAGTTAAGGGCATGTACCTTGGGTGCAGTTTGGTCCCCAGCCCTAGTCAGGGTCGTGCAGGAGTCAACCAATTGATGTGTCTCTCTCACATCGATGTTTCTCTGTTTCTCCCTCCCACTCTGTCGGAAAATATCCTCGGGTGAGGATTTAAAAAAATAATAATAATAATGAGCATTTATTAAGTAATTGGTCTATGTCAGGATCTAATTTTATCTCACAACCATCTTATGAAGTAGAAAATCTTACTGTGCACATTTTATAGAGATGGAAACAAATTTGAGGAGGTAGAAACCTTGCCCAAATTCACCCAGCAAAGTGCTGGAGCCAGGATTCAAGCTCAGATTAGCCTGACTCTGGGGAGGCTCTGTTCAATACAGTGGCCATCAGCCACATGTGGCCACTGAGCTCATGAAATGTGGCTGGTCCAAATTCAGATATGCTGTAAGCGTAAAATATACACTGGGTTTTGTAGATTGTTGGTATGAAAAAAAGGAATGTTCCCTGGCCAGTTTGGCTCAGCGGTTAGAGCGTCGGCCTGCGGTCCGGAGAGACCCGGGTTCGGTTCCCGCTAAGGGCACGTACTTCGGTTGCAGTTTGTCCCTGGCCCTGGTTGGTCGTGCGGGTGGCAGCCACTCGATGTGTCCCTTCACGTTGATGTTTCTCTCTCTCTCCCTTCCTCTCTCTCCCTCCCACTCTATCTGTACAAAAAATGGAAAAATATCCTCGGGTGAGGATAAAAAAAAAAAAAAAGGAATGTAAACAATCTTGTTAATAACTATTTTTTGTTTTGTTAATCCTCACCTGAGGACATTTTTTCATTGATTTTTAGATAGAGTGGAAGGGAGGGAGAGAGAGAGTCAGAGAGAGAAACATTGATATGGGAGAGACACGTCAATTGGTTGCCTCCTGCACAACCCTGATGGTGCTCAGGGATCGAACCTGCAACTCAGGTACATGCTCTTGACTGGGAATCGAACCCACAACCCTTTGGTCTTAGAGCTGATGCTCTAACTGCTGAGCCAAACTGGCCAGGGCTTATTAGTAACTATTGATTACATGTTGAAATGAGAATATTCAGGATTGAGTATATATTGGTATTAGTTTGATTCGTTTCCTTTTTTTTTTTAAATGTGTCTATTGGGAAACATAAAATGACATGTGGCTTGAATGTTATCTCTTTTGGACAGTGCTGGCCCACAGCATGTTCCCCTTCAGAGCTTCTGCTCTTGGTAAATGTCCCCCCAGAGGGAGTATCAATGAGGGGAGACAAGAACAGTAACTCCTCTTTTTTGACCTATCCTATCAGGATTTGCATTTCATTGAAAGATTCTGAAGTACTATAGTCTGCCCTGAACATGCCAGAAGCTCTACAAAACATCCAGGGCTCTCTATATTCCCAGGGACCCCCAACTTTCCTCAGGATGGAGATGAGGGCCCTGCATTACCTGGCTGGGCTAGTATCTAATGCATCAAGGCTGCCAGTATTAAATAGAGAAGTACAGAAATAGCAAAACTGTTAGGAGCACTTAGCACATGGGATAACAGAATCATCTGCACAGCCTAGCATCATGCCTAGTCAAAGTGGGTGCCTAACAAATATTTATTGTATGAACAGAGATGATAAAAACACAACCTGAATGAAAGACTCCACCATTGAGTAGCCACTGCTTAAAAACTGACCCCTTGGGACTCTTCCATGGATTCAGATTTACCTCACCTGGGAAGCAGATGGAACCAAAATCCAGGTGTTCCTCTCACAATCTCCCTTAGGGGACCTGGGCATCCCCGTGGTCTTACCTTATAGTAATTGTTGTCGTGGAAGCATTTGCAGGAAGAGGCATTGATGCAGTGGGAGTCACTAAACAAAAAGCCAGAATTGCAGACACAGCCGGGCTTGCAGACGAGCTTGCAGTTGACATTGGGGTTCTGGCAGGATGCCGGGCAGGCACAGGGTTCATAGTGGGCATTTGAAGGGCAGCTTGCTAAGGGAAAAATAGCCTCCATCAAGCCTCCACTCTATAGCTTCCCTGAGGGAGACTTCCCATCTCTCCTCTACCCCAACACTCAAGTTCTTCTCTAAGAAGTAGGTCCATATTATTCAGCCATAAAAAGGAATGGCGTCCTGGTACAAACTACAACATAGATGAACCTTGAAAACATTATGCTCAGTGAAAGGAGCTGATCATATATTATATGATTCCATTTGTATGTAATGTCTAGAATAGGTAAATCCATAGAGACAGAAAGTGGTTGCCAGGGATTGGGAAGTTGAGAGGAATGGGGAGTTACTGCTAATGGGTATGGGGTTTCTTTTGAAGGTGATGAAAATGTTCTGGAATTAGAAAGTGATGATGTTTGCACAATCTTGTGAATATACTAAAACCACTGAATTGTATACGTTAAAAGGACAAAAATTATGGTATATAAATTGTATCTCAATTAAAAAAAAAAAAATGAGAAGAAAGCCTGGTGTTTGGTTCCCAAATACCCCCACCTACTCATGCCCTTCTGTCCCTCTCACTCAGGGTAGTCAGTCCTCATTCTTTCTTCTAAAGTCATCATGTCTGATTCATCCTCCTCTACAACTGCAGTTTTCTGTTAGAAGCATCCCTTTCCCTAATTCTCTCTCCTAGTCATTGTCTCTTACTTACAACTCTTTAGCCAACGATCACATACCTGGAGTAGGTCTAGGGGTCACAGTGGTTATGGAGGTACTTGGAGTACTAACAGGCTTCGTCAAGACTGTAATAACAGTGGTAGTAGGAAGTACTACCACACTTGTAGTAGGAATTGTGGGCCTTTTAATGTGGACTGTGGGTTTTTCAATGTGGACTATCGGTTTTTCAATGTGGACTGTGGGTTTTTCAATGTGGACAGTGGGTTTTTTAATGTGGACTATGGGTTTTTCAGCGGGGACTATGGGTTTTTCAATGTGGACTATGGGTTTTTCAGTGGGGACTATGGGTTTTTCAATGTGGACTGTGGGTTTTTCAGTGGGGACTATGGGTTTTTTAATATGGACTGTGGGCTTTTCAATGTGGACAGTGGGCTTTTCAATGTGGACTATGGGTTTTTCAGTGGGGACTATGGGTTTTTCAATGTGGACTATGGGTTTTTCAGTGGGGACTATGGGTTTTTCAATGTGGACTATGGGTTTTTCAGTGGAGACTATGGGTTTTTCAATGTGGACCATGGGTTTTTCAGTGTGGACAGTGGGATTTTCAGTGTGGACTATGGGTTTTTCGATGTGGACTGTGGGTTTTTCAATGTGGACTGTGGGTTTTTCAATGTGGACTATGGGTTTTTCAGTGTGGACTATGGGTTTTTCGATGTGGACAGTGGGTTTTTCAATGTGGACTATGGGTTTTTCAGTGTGGACTATGGGTTTTTCGATGTGGACAGTGGGTTTTTCAATGTGGACAGTGGGTTTTTCAGTGGGGAGAGTGGGTTTTTCAATGTGGACTGTGGGTTTTTCAGTGGGGAGAGTGGGTTTTTCAATGTGGACTGTGGGTTTTTCAGTGTGGACTATGGGTTTTTCAATGTGGACAGTGGGTTTTTCAATGTGGACTGTGGGTTTTTCAATGTGGACTGTGGGTTTTTCAGTGGGGAGAGTGGGTTTTCTAGTGGGGACAGTGGGTTTTCTAGTGGGAACCATAGGTTTTTGAGTGGGGACTGTGGGTTTTTCTGTGGGGGCCATAGGTTTTCCTGTGGAGAGAAGGATCTCAGAAGGACCAGTATAGGGAACTGGATAATTGGAAGGAAGCATTGTTGGCACAGGTCCTGCAAAGAAAACAAAATCCTGGAGTTTAGTCAAAATCATACCACTACTTTCTTCACTAACATCTAATTGAAGTGGGTGGGATCAAGGGGGTAACTTATTCATACTCCTCCTTCTACTCCCAACCCCACCTTCACTCACTTAATAAAAATACTCAACAACCACTGCTCCTTATATATGTCAGATATTGTGCCAGATACAGAAACACAAAATGAATAGGATATTGGCCCTCCCTTCAGGATCACCACAGAAATTTGTGGTATCAAAGTCAAATCACTCAAGTAAGCATCTGATAGAGCCAGGAAGGTAGAGGTGGGCAGAATACAAAAAACAAAACTGTCTGAAAGTTCAGACACAGAGAAGACTTCTTTTTAACTAGTACATATATAGAAGACCAAGAAATGGTTATCCCAGAGCATGGCCTCATTTCTGAGGTCCTGGGTTTGGTCTTACCTTGACAGGTCCCATGATTAATCAAGATGAAACCCAAGGCGACAACAAAGGAACTGCTGGTACCCCTGATGGCCTCAAGTGTCAGCTAAAGGCAATGAAGGAGAAAGAAGGAAAAGATAAATGAAAGTGAAACCCAGGCACCTCAGTGACTCTGCCAGGCATAGGGTCTATCCTCTGCCATTGTGTCACCTTGTTCCAGCCTCAACAGTCCAACACTGCCCTTGCCCCTTTTCTGGTGTTAGAGAGCCTTCTCAGGAACACCAAGTTCACCTCTACTCTGCTCTCCTTCCAGTGTTCCACCTTAGCCCTGGTTATGCTCCCAAATACCAGGCACTGTGTCCCCCTTACCATGTCTCATGCACTTACTGGGCCCACTCTCTCTGTCTCTTACCTGCATGGGCTGTTGATATCCTGAAGGGATGGTGATGGAGGCATTTAGCCAGCCAGGACTCTGAGACCCAATGCGTTGCCAGAGAGAAGCTGGGGGACTGCCTGCAGGACTCTGCAACAGGAGCTTCAGCCTAGTGCCCTCTCCAAGGCCATACATATGGTAGGAAAATTTCATACAGGTCGCACCCAGGGCACAGAAAGGTTGGCTCACCAGTCTGAAAGACTGGCCTACCTGGGATAACTTGTTAGCTTCAAGGTAGATATAGTTACCTTGCAAAAGAAGGGAATGGTCAAGGTGAGAAACCTCCATTAGACAAGTCTAATAAAGATCTGATGCAAATACCGAAACTCTCACCACTGCAGTGCTTGTGTGTGTGTGTGTGTGTGTGTGTGTGTGTGTGTGAATACTCATTTTGGACGTATCTAACTGAAGGATCAGAGAGAAATAGAAAATCAAACCAGCAACCCAGATTTCTTTGTTGGTTGCATCAGTAGATGTCTTAACTAAAAATGAGATAGTGGATTTTGAAGCCTTGGGCTCAATGAATTGAGATGCCTGGATTTTCTGGGGGTTTCAGTGACTCCACAGCCATGAGAATCCTCAATTCACTCTATCTCTGTCATCTCCACAGTTCTGGCCCCATGACACTTCCCAATAAACACTTGCTGGCTGATCTTCACCGCCTACAACATCTTATTCCAGCAATCACACCAACCAGCCCTCTACCTAGGAGCATATTCAGTAATTCATTGGCTTGAGGGGTCCTAAATCTCCTCAGCTCTGTTAAGAGACCCTCCAAAGGGACCTGTACCTTGGATGGACATATTTTTACCACCCCTGGTCCAGTGTCCACCATTCCCTGATGTCTGGACCCAGTCACAGAAGGGATGAGCAGCATCTTCAAAGTCACACCGAGGTAAGATCTCTAGGGTATCAAAATGTGAAATTTGAGAAAATGTGGCCATCTTTCTATTCCTCCCCCATCCACTCCTGATTCCAGGGCCCTGGTCTCACCCCCACAGGGAGCAATGCTGATTGCATCCACTGCCACGGCTGGTTCTGGGATCTTTCCAAATACACCCACAATGGTGAACTGAAGAGAGAGGGAGAGGGAGCTGGGTGTAAGAAAACAGCCCAAATGCCAATACCCCATCTGATTTTATTCTATTCAGGGACTTAGGCACCTTGCTCCCATTTCCCAGAACCCTCACTCCATTTCAATATTGGGGGTGCCTACCATGGGCAAGGAAACCTGACCTCTTGCTCCTCTGTACCTGAATCAGTCCCTGGCCTGTATGATTGACAGATGCAGGCTGCCAGTTGGACCCAGATTGTCCTGAGAAAAGAACGTGTTTCTGGATGCTGCCTGCAATGGAAGTAATCCAAGGAAATGAGATTGAGGGAACTGGAAAATGACTTCAAACCTGTATTCGGAAGGATGAGTAGCAAAGATAATACTTGGAGTGTATTCCCCTTCACCAAATGCAAGCACCTTCTTCTCTCTCACATCCTAGAACCCAGTTCCCTGCCGGCTCCCTGGTTCCACTCTGGAATAATCTTGCACATAGCCCAGATTTCTCTAGACCCATATCTCCTCATCAACCAACCCTGGGAAATGAGCCTCAGGTCAGTGTAAATCCCGTGACTTCGCCACTCTCACCCAGGACAGAAGCATAGACAGTGAGGGCTGCGCCAGGAGACTGGCCATGGAGGATGTAGTGGAAAGACAGACTCAGACAGCCTGATGACTGCCTAGGGTGGCTCAGGAGAAGAGATTTCTGCCTTGGCTTTGCATTCTGGGGGTCCAGTAGCATGTAGAAGCCACCTGCAAAGAAAAAGGTCAGTAAGGTGGACGGCTAAAATTAGGAGAGTATGGCACAGGGATAGAGCCCTGTGAGGGCAGGGGATCCGGCCCTGGGGAGCCCCAGTAGCTGCCTAGGACCAGCCACTGCTGAGGTGGGCCTACACCCATCTCACAACTCTCTGAGCCTTCAATCCTTCTAGAAGTGCTTGGCACGACTGGGTAAGGTTGTGGATGTCGCCATATGAAAAGTGGTATCCTCTCAGAATCAGTAGACAAGACCTCCTCCCTTGGGTTCTGACTTTTTAGGTCCCCCCAGAATCATAGCCCCTTCCTTTTCTTGACCCACTAGACATAGCTGATTCACACAAACTGGTGAAAGAAGGACCTTTGTGACACAGATGAACAGCCATCTCCCCACCCCACCTTTGCCACCAGGTCAGGGAGCCAATCAGCCTCGACCTTGCTCCACGACGCAGCTGGTAGACAGCGAGGTGTGTGTGTGTGTGTGTAGGGGTGGTGGGTAGAGGGAGGGAATTAGGGCACCTCCCGACAGCGCGCATGCGTGTCTGCAGGAACGCTGCTCAAGGGGTGCTGCCTTGTGAGTGCATTCACCGCCGGGGAAGGTGGGCTTCAGAAAGGAAGAGAAGAGGGCTCAAGAGGAGAATATGCAGGAGCGGGAGAGGAGAGAGAAAAGAGGAAGAAAAGGAAAGGAAATGGTGAGAGAGAAAGCAAAGGGTGGCGATACTGGGACATGTGAGAAATGGAAAAGGAGAAATGAGAGAAAAAGAAAGGTGAAAAAATATAATTAAGTGAACACAATGGAAAAAAGAAAAGAGGGAAAATTTTAAAACAACAACCAACATTTACTGAAACTGCTAGGCATGAGATACAGTATAAATGCAAAGGTAGGGGGCGTGGTGGGGGGAGAGATACAGGAATGGACTGGCCACCCTGCTCTCCAGGGGCTTATAATGAAGGTGAGGTGGGGGTTTCTCAAAGTCTTTCTAGGAGGCAAACCTCAGGCAACAGGAAAGCTCAGAGGAACGAGAGCATGCAGTTGGATGAGGTAGAAAGGGCTATGAAGTAGGGGGAGGGAAAGCTAGAGAAAAGGAGAAAAAAAATGAAAAGAAGGTGGAAGGAAGAGAAAGAATTGAGAATGGAGGAAGGCAAAGGGAAAGAGAAGAAAGAAGAGGTAGAAACTCCAAGAGGAAATTAGTGAGCACGATCCTCTATTTCTGACCTGTGAAGCTTGGCATAGCATGCACTCAGTGTCGGCTAGAAGTGTGTGTTGTGTGGAGTAGAGTGAGAGAGGAGGTGGCTGGTGTGGAGGTGAGAAAAGGAGCTGAAGAGCAGGGAAGGAAGGAAGGGAGGAAAGAAGTAAGGGAGGGAGGGAGGGAGGAAAAGAAAGAAAGAAAGAAAGAAAGAAAGAAAGAAAGAAAGAAAGAAAGAAAGAAAGAAAGAAAGAAAGAAAGACCCAACCAAAAGTACAGGGAGGTGGTGGAAAAGAAGCTAGGGACAGACGTGGATGGAATAGAGAAGGAAGAAAACGTATTGCCTGGATTGTTGCAAAAGCCTCCTAAATGGCCATCCTGCATTCCCTTCAGTGCATTTTCAACACAAAAACCAGGTGATCCTTTTAAATATAAGCTAGATAAAATCACTCCTCTGCTCCAAATCTGCAAAGGTTCCCCATTCATAGAGAATAAAGGCCTCAGTCCTGATGATGGCTTTCAAGGCTCTACATGACCTGTTCCTCCTAAGACCCACCTGAGCTCATCTTCTCCATCCCAACCACATGGCTTCTTGCTGTACCTCAACAGCCCCTCACTCCCACCCCCACCAGCCCACTGCTACTTCAAGGCTTTTGCATGGCTGGACCCTTTGGTTAGAATGTTCTTCCCTTCAAAATTTTCATTCCCTTACTTTCTTCATGTTTGTGTTCATATGTGACCTGAATGAGACCTACTCTGACCACCCTATTTAAAACATACAGCCCACCCTACTCCTGAACTCCCAATCCCCTTTGTTCAATTTTTTATTTTTTCTGACAGCACTCTTCACTTTATAACTGTATAACGTTATAACTGTATAACTGTACTTCTTTATTGTTTCAGAAACTGTCTTTCCCCCTTTTGGCCCCCTGCCACTCCTTGTCTGTTTTGTAAACTGATATATCTTAAGTGCAGGGCACATAGTAGCTGCTCAATAAATACTTGTTGGGTGAATAAAGAATGAAAGGTGCCAGGGAAGGGAGGTGAGGAGCAAGCTGTGCTGAGTCTGCCAGGTAGCTTGTGAGGCAGCAGTAGAGGGAGCCGGCTGGGAGTGTGGAATTTACTCTCTGTCAGGCAATTCAAACTGATAGAGATTGCTGGGGTTCGCCCCAGACCTTCCCAAGTTGAGTTACTGTAGAATTTTCAGGCAAACATCATCAACTCCTACAAGGTCACTGGAAGCCCAGGAAGTCAGAAGACAAGAGTGTGGCCATTACTCACTACCAGGGCTGGAGAAGTCATCCTTGGGCCCCACATTCCGCATCCCCGATGACCCCTTCTTCTGGACCCACTTGGCTCCAGTGGCTGTGGGAATCCAGCTCCAGCCACAGAGATCATTTTGAGTGTCGAAGCTGCACATTTTCATCATGCAGACTGAGGGGAATGAAAGGAGAGGAGATTAGCTTTTTCTAAGAGGAAGCAGCTCTGAAAAATATGCCTCTGTCTGGACTCAGAATTCTGAGTCCCAGTCTGGGTCCTGTGAGCCATGAAGAGCTTTCAAGTCAGCTACAGTTCTGCTCCCTAGCAGCTGTGTTCCTAAGTTTCAGATTACTTAAACTGCCCACTCCTCAGTTTCCTCATCTATAAACTGGGAATAACAGTATCTGCATGTTGTAAACTAAATTATGTGCAGGGAGTATCTAGCACAGTGCCTGTGCTCAGTAAGGGTTAGTTCCTTGACCCAGCTTCTAGAATTTTAATTCCCTTCACTTTACTCCCCTCAGATTTCTAACATCAGCTTAGAGGGCTAATTCTGGGTAGATCTGGGGTAGCATACAGGGTGACTAAACATTCAGGTTTGCCCAAGACTGATGTATTCCTTGAGATGCAAGACTGTCCGTGATAAAATAGGGATAGCCCAGGGCAAACCGTAATGGTTGGTCGCTGTTAAAAGAGAAGCTCTCTTTGGGTGTGGCTGCTTCAGGAATCAAAGGTACAAGGTGTGAAGCAAGTAGACTCAACTTTGGAAGAAACCAGGATCATGATCCCTGAGCTACTCCTGCCACCCTACACAGATGGTGGGGTGGAGAGAAAGAGGAGGAGGGATAGCGGCTCACCCTTATCGCAGGAGCCACGACGGATAGAAATAGCATCCAGAGAGATGTCCAGGTAAGTGGGGCTGCCTCTCACTGCTTCAAATACCAGCTGTGGGAGGGAAGAAGAAATCACCCACCCTGTGAGCCCCTTTACCTCAGGCTCCCAGTTTCCTGCCTGAATTCAGATGGCCCAGCCACCCCCACACCTCCTCATTATCCCAATTCCCTTTTGGGTGCACCTAACACCCAGATTCCCACTGGGGCCCCAGGCTGTGCCCTTGACCTCACCTGCCTGGGCACCGCAGACGCCTTGGGCACGGTGACAGTGGTGGGCATCCAGGAGGGGCTCTGAGTGTTAATGTGTTTCCAAAGCAAGGTGGGGTGCTTGTTGTTATTGCCCATGAGCAGCAGCAGTTTGAGCTGGGCACCCCACGGCAGCCCAAACATGTAGTAGGCGAAGTGCACGCACAGAGGGCCTTGCTCCCATAGAGGGGAGCTGAGCAGGTGGACCACCCCACTCTGGTGGATGGTGCTAGAGTCCATATGCAGGTAATAGCCCTCTGGAGAGGCAGAGGCCAGAACAGTGAGAACTTGCCACCCCCAGGGGCTGCACCCAGCCCTTTCCCAGAGCCCAGGAGCCCACTTCCAGCTGCCCCCCTTCTCCCTCCACCCAGATTTACCTGTGCCCATCTCCCAGCTGCCTCCCTAAACTTTAAGCTTCCTCACCTCCATTGGGGTAACCCCCAGAAGGCCCAGCTCTGCCCATGGGAGAGGGCCCACTGGCTCGAATCCAGTCCCCATCATCTGTGGACATTTGAGTCCAGTCACAGAAGGGTTTGGAGTTGTCCTCAAAATCACACTGGGTGATAATTGCTGGGGGGAAAAAAGGGCCACTGTGAGGCCAAGAGAAGAGAGAGGACCAGCTGCAGAGGCAAACGAGGTGGCGGGGTGCGGTGGTAGCAAGACTGCTAAACTTAGAGAAAGTGACTACTAAGATTAGGGTCCAGAGCAGAGATTTGGGAAAGAGAATCTGATAAGTCATCTTGTAGGAGAAGTTCAGGGTGGGGTGGGGTGAGGTGGGCAAAATGTCTAGGTCTGGAGTCACAAACTGAGGTCCAGGGGCCTGGATTCAGGGGGGCAGACAGGCTTTGTCTGGGAAGCATACATTTTGCTGTTGTTGTCAATTTGAATGTAAACCTTTTAGGCAGGGTTTGTACTCCTCCATAGCTACCTCCACCTCTGTCATCTAAGGGCTACACTTTACACACTTATTCTGTGTTTATGTCATCGCCTGGCCTGGAGGGCACAGGGATGGCCACCCTGGGAGGGAGTCCGAACAGTCCTGGTTTCCGACTCACAGTTGTTCTCAGAGCTGTGGGCAGCTGGCATCTGGTCCAGAGACTTCACTTTCCTTGAGGTTGATTTGGAGAAAGAACAAAATGTAATACTTTTCATTATCAAGAATTATAAGCCTCAGTGATTGTGGAGAGCTCACCTTAAGTTCTCATATCCCTGAAAAAATGTCTTCCCTGAGAGGCCCTCACATCCCTTCTGTCTCTCTATGTCCTGGATGTCAAGCATGGTTGAGTCTCAGATGAGGAAGAACCAGCTTATACCTGGGGAATCTCCTTCATTCGGATTGAGATCTTCCTGTATTATAACCCAAGTTTTCCCCACTAAGTAGGGAGTATACTGGTCCCGCGTTGCTAGGTATTTGGCAGGTGATATTGTCCCAGCTACATGCAACTGAACACAGAGAGGACTAACTAAGGAACCACCCCTCTCACCATCCAAATTCCACAGAGAAGTCCCTGCCCCTCCTCAGGTGGTGTGGGCTACATAGAACAACCCTTGGTTTTAGTTGTTCAAGTTCTGCTTATTCAAATCTCCCAAACAAGCTCCAGGACATTGAGCCATCCATCATTTCTTGCCTCCTACTTAAAGTCTCACTTATGTGCTGGGTCCACTCTAGGTTTTGACGTCTTTCTCTTCCTCTGCCATCCTCAGACCTGTCTCCCTAGCTCTGCACCTCCTCCCTCTTTCCTCACGTTTTGGCTCTGTCCTACTCCCACTGAGCTCTCGCACCCCTCAATTCCTGTGCTCCCCTCATTTCTGTTCATCCTCTTTTTTCATGCCATGGGGCTCCCTCCTCCCTTCCCAAGACTGTGCCCTTTATCACTAGCCTGCTTTGCCCCTCTAACTTTGCCCCTCACTATTCCTCAGAGCCACCCTCAATCATCCCCCTGAGACCAGCTTACCAGACAGAGGTGGGAATTTGGCCCTGGCTGCAGGCAGCCCCCATCATTAGCACCAGAGTCCAGACTAGCGAAGCCATGCGGGACCTCAGAGTCAGCTCTCAGGGAATAAGGGGAAGGCAGAGTAAGGAGACCAGACTACTTTAAACATCCTTGACCCTCTTTGCTGGGCATCCTTCTGAGGATGCCATGAAAACTGGACAATCAGATAACTGGAAATAAAAACTATGAGGGCTGAAATTGAAAATCCAATAGAAGAGTTATAAATTGAAATTGAGAGAAATAAAATGAAAGCGAGAGAGAAGGAAAGCAAGAGAGAAAGAAAAGAGAGAGAGAATCAGTCTAGGAAGTCTAACATCCAACCAAAAGAGCATAAAAAGGAGAAAGCACACAACAAAAGAAATTACTTAAGAAAAACAACACAAGATTTCCCAGAACTGAAACAGGAATCTCTCGATTAAAAAGAGTCTGGTATGATGACTGCAAAGAGAGCCATAAAAGGTATATTATAAAATTTCAGAATATCAGGGGTGAAGAGAAAATTCTAAACACTTTCAGAGAGGAAAAAGCAGGTCACATACCAAATATCAGGAATCAGCACGGCGTTGTAATTTTCAATAGCAACCATGGATTCTAAGAGGCAGTGGAACACTGGCTGTAGAATTCCAACAGAAAATCATTTCAAACCTAACATTCTAGAACTGGCAACAGTGGCAAAGGCAACTGGAAGGTCAAATAAAGTAAGGACTGAGATACTTATTGGCAAAGAATTGTAAAAGGTCACAGAAGAAATACAGCCAGCCAGTAAACATTGGAAAGGATTCTCTTGCTTCACTAGTAATAAGAAAAATGCTGAGCAAATTAAACTGTCATGTTGACAACAATGTAAAAGATTGATAGCATTGAGCCCTGGCCAGTGGGGCTCAGTTGGTTGAATGTCATTCCATGCACTGAAAGGTTGCAGGTTTGATTCCTGGTCAGGACACATACCCTGGTTGTAGGTTTGATTCCTGGTCAGGGTGTTGGTCCAGGCACAAGTGGGAGGCAACCAATCGATGTTCCTTTCTCTCTCTCTCTCTCTAAATATCAATAAAATTTATTTTTTAAAAAGATTGATAGCGCCCTGGCCGGTTTGGCTCAGCGGTTAGAGTGTTGGCCTGCGGTCCAGAGAGACCTTGGTTGGGTTCCCACTAAGGGCATGTACCTTGGTTGCAGTTTGTCCCCGGCCCTGGTTGGGTTGTGGGGGTGGCAGCCACTCAATGTGTCCCTTTCACGTCGATATTTCTCTCTCTCTTCCTCTTTCTCCCTCCCACTCTATCTGAACATAAAATGGAAAAATGTCCTCGGGTGAGGATTAAAAAAAAAAAGATTGATAGCATTGTGTATTGATCAGTGTGTAGGTAGATACACTCATATACAAGGTTAATAAGACTGTATGTTGGTGAAAAGTTCTTACAAGCTAATTTGACAAGGACTGTTAAACTTCCAGATGTGCCTATCTTTCACCCAGCATTACCTTTCTAACAGTTTCTCCACAGAAATACATGTTTATTTGCACGAAGATGTACATACCTTAAATGTTCATTGTAGCATTGTTTACAGTAGAAAAATAATCGAGATTACCTAAGTGTTTACCATTAGATATGCAGTCAGATCATATTCAAGGAATACAGTCATGTAAAGGAATATTATGTAGGTATTGAAAAGAAGTATTCCTAAATAATTGAATAAATAAAGAATTACCAGATGATCCTGCAATTCCACTTCTAGGTATATAGAATCAAAAAGAATTAAAAGCAGGGACTTGAACAGATATTTGCACAACTGTGTCTACAGCAGCATTATTCATAGTAGCCAAAATGTGGAAGCAACCCAAGTGTCCATAGACAGATGAATGGATAAACAAAATGTAATAATATATACAAACAATGGAATATTATTCAGCCTGAAAAAGGAAGAAAACTCTGACACATGCTATAACATTGAGGACATTATGCTAAGTGAAATAAGTCTATCACAGAAGACAAATACTATATGATTCCATCCATATCAGGCACCTAACACAGGCTAATTCATAGAGACAGAGACTAGAATGGTATTTGCCAGGGACTGGGGGAATGGGGAATGGAGAGTTAGTGTCTAATAGGTATAAAACTTCAGTTTTACAAGATGAAAGTTCTGTAGATGGATGGTGGTGGTGGTTGCACAAACAATGTGAATGTGCTTAATGCATCTGAACTGTACACTTCAAAATTGTCAAGACAATAAATATTATGTATCTTTTACCACAATTTTCAGAAATAATTTTTGTAAAGTACTACTTGATAATATAATATAATATTATTATTATTTTTTTTTATTATTATTATTATTTTTTTTAATCCTCATCTGAGGACATTTTTCCATTTTTTGTACAGACAGAGTGGGAGGGAGAGAGAGGAAGAGAGAGAGAGGGAAACATCGATGTGAAAGGGACACATCGAGTGGTTGCCACCCGCACGACCAACCAGGGCCGGGGACAAACTGCAACCGAGGTACGTGCCCTTAGCGGGAACCGAACCCGGGTCTCTCCGGACCACAGGCGGACGCTCTAACCGCTGAGCCAAACCGGCCAGGGCTATAATATTATTTTTTTAAAATGGTGGTAGATCCATAGAGTCCAATGGTGCAAAGAGCATCTACAGATACAGTAAACAAAAGAGGTGAGACACAAAAAAAATTTTATAGTGTGATCCCATTTATGCAAAATCCCAGAATAAAGGTATATATTTATGTACATATTCAGGTCAAGGTGTAGAGATGGAACTAGGAGGACACACAGCAAGCTATTCACAGTGGTGACCCCTGGGGAGGGGTGCACAAGGTTTTCATGTCTTCTGTGTATTTGTGCATCCAGGTGTTCCTGTGCATAGTTTTGGTTTGTTATAGATACTTTCATGAAAGTCATTTGAGGGGCCTAGTTGAGGGGAAGCCAGACTAGAAGATTTAAGGAGGCAGTGGAAGTTGAAGGACTGGGTCTCAACAGGAGGCAGGGACAACATTTAAAGCTGTTTGGTCATCTAAAGGAGGTTTGTAAAGAAGGTGTAGGAATTGGGACAAAGTAGTCTTCTCAAGGTAAGAGAAATCAGGGCCCATCTAAATGTGCATGGGAAGGATGCAACCATGAGAGAGGTGAGAAAAGGGCTTCTGAGAAGGTGGATGGGGAAAGTCTAGAACACAGACAACAGGAGAGACAAGCAGCTCTGTGAAGGGACTGGGGAGGGGACCATGCAGATGCATGTTTAGTGGCTTCTGTTTCATTTGTGAAGTAGGAAGTGAAAGGGGAAGCCTTCGGTCACAGGAAGGCCACCAGTAGTTTCCTTCTCAGATGAGTTTCATGCCAGTTCTGCCCACAGCTGGCTCACCCTCACCTTCCTGCTGTACTAATGCCAGCCCTCCAGCCCTCCCACCTTTCCCACCTTTTGCCATACTTTACTCCGACCTGCATTCCTCTGGTGGGCAGACGGATCAGTGCTTGGTAGGGAGCCTGTGGAAGGAGACTTTGACTCAGGTCACTGGTGATGGGAAGGGATGGGGGCTGGTTAGGGAAGGCTTCTGCTGAAGGTGACACCTGGGGGCCTTTCTAGATGACAGAGACAGTAATTAGCCAAAGAAGTTGGGAAGGCACATTCTAGGAAGAGGAAGTGTTCCAAGCTTAGAAGGAGCATGACACTTTTGGAAAATGGCTGGTATGTGTGTGTGTGAGGCGGGGGGAGGGGTGTAAGACTGGGAGAAGGCAGGAATCCTGTCTAGGAGACCTCAAATACCATAGCTTTTAGGAGCCCCCAAAAGTTTTTAAGCAATGGGAGGGAGTGACTACCAAACCACATGCGTTTTCTAAAGGTTGCTGGGGGTGGGGTTGAGGAATAATACACATCAAAGACTGGCTGTTCATAGCAGGGTGATAGGAGAGGAGGTTGTGGAGGGTGAGAGATGTAGTACAGATGGTTGTTAGCATAGATGGAGCAATACTTGCAGGCTAACCTAACTGGACTTCATGTCCTATTCATAGCAAAGATACTGTCCTCATTTTTTATGTGTGGAACTGAGCTCAGGAGAGATGAAGTCAATTGCCCAGCATAAGAGCATGACACTGACAGTCCTCAAAGTGTGTCCTGCCCAGTCCCACAGTTCTTCGAGGAGCCCCTCAGGGGCTGTTGGGGCCATTCAAATGTGGAGGTGGTTCCACCCCAGTCAGAGCAACCATGCTTTTATCAGATTCATTAATGGCAATTCTACGTATGATTGCAGCCGAAAGGGCAGTTTTTCGGTTTTTAAAAACCCAGCTGACTCATCACACATACAGAGCTGTAGCTAGGCTGGAGCGCTGGACTGCAGTGAGCTGAGCATTGTGAGTCCAGATTTCCTACATCCCCCCCACCCACATGTTCCTAGAAAGCTCCAGTGTCCATTCCCTTTACCTCTGCAACCCCGACTCCCTCTACCAATTCTATGCTTAGGGCACCTGACAAGTGATAGTGATGCCCAGGCAGGCCATTTTCCTGAACTATCAGGGACGGCCCAGTACAGCTGAGCACCAGGCTTCCAACAGGGAAGTCCAAAAGCCCCTTTTACAGTCTTGGGGACTCCTCTGCCCAAATGAGCACCGACGGGGCCCATGCAGGGGTCAGACCCAGGGAGAGAGAGATCCTCTGCCCCTTTACATCAAAGCTGGGGATATAAAGAATGCCTAACCCAAGCCCTGTTCAACCCTCCCTCCAGACCAAGTTAGCAGAGCAATCAATAGAGGGAAAAAGCCAGGAAATGGTTAACCCAGGCTAGAGCAGCAGAAGCCAATTGATCCACAGCCCCTCCTGGTTGGGCAATAAGGTCTTTGAGGGCTCTGCTTTTCCTGACCTCCCTTTGGTGCTACAGAGTTAGACAGGCACAGCTTCCAACAAGCCTGTATGTGGGGGATGGGAAATCAAGGCAGGACAAGAAGGGATGAAAAGTAGTGATGGGAGGGAACCACTGGGCTCTGCATTTTGGGGAGTCAGGAACAGGCAAGGCCCCAGAAGGTTTGTCACCTGACAAGACTGGCAGCTGCAGAAATAGATGTGAGATACCCTGGGATGTAGAAAAACCCTGGGAATTACTTCAGACCCTGGGAATTACTTCAGAGAACTGGAGTTAGTCCTGGTATCACTGTGCGCCCTTGGGTACTTTGATCACCTTCTCTGGGTCTCAGTTTCCTCATCTGTAAGATGGAGAGGAGAGATAGTCAACGTTTATAAAAATCAAAATATATGTGCCACATAAATTTTGACTAGGTGGAGCCTCCTTCCTTTACAGATGTTGAAAAAGGACTCACTTCTTTTTTGGGGGGTATGTGCCCCTAGCAGGAACCGAAACTGGGACTCTCTGTCCACAGGCCAACACTCCAACGGCTGAGCCAAACCAGCCAGGGCTCACATAATTTTTTAATAATCAATTTTTACAGATCAAGAAGGGAGCTTATAGGCATTTAGGCATAACTCTCATAAGTTGGGAAACCATACTGCTGTCTGATTTTTTGTTGCCAATAATCTTTTATAATATCACAGTTTTGTGATGAAATTTTAGAGGAATTAGCCTTGACCAGCTGAAAATAATCTAGTTACCTTTCAGTTTAAATTCCAATGTCTAAGAGGCCCCCATTTAGCTAATTCAACTCCAGCAATAGTCACCTGCTATGGTGAGACTTGTGGACTGAGCAGTTTCAGAAAAATCCTAGGCAGCCTGTAAGCCGGAATCAGGCAGGTGCATTTGGGCAGCCTGATGCTCAGCTCAGGCCCAGGAAGAGGATTCAGACCAGTAGCACCTAAGGCCAAGAGGCTGCTGTCAAGGTGGGAGCTAGGGCTGCAAGAAGCAGCTGAGTTGGCCCCTAGTGCTGGGAGGGAGACTGGGTGATAGGGATAGTGGTAGGCATTTTCTGCCTATCCATGGAGGAAGTGGGAGCCTGAGGCAGAGAACAGAGTGGGGAGGAGTTGGTAGTGAGAGATGGATGTGCCTAATGCTCTTTCCTTCCCTCCATCCACAACCTCTACTCTCTCCTCTGCCCCAGTGAGGTATGCTTCAGGTAGAAGAAGGACCCTGAGTCACAGAGCCTGGCTGATGATCCTGGCCCTTCCTCTCAGGATCATAAACTCTCTGAACCTCAGTTTCCTCTCCTGCAAAGAGGGGATCCTCTACCATCTCTGCCTTCCTTATGGAGTTAGAAGAGCAAATGAGAGATGCCCAGGAAAGCACCTCGTAAATCACAAAGCACTCTACAAACAAAAGGCATCTCCATTAAAAAATTATGTAACCTGCTGACTCAGAACTGGGCTGCACTGGCTCCTGTCCCACCAGGAAGTCAGAAGAGCTGGTTCCATCACTCATCTGGCAGAACTTAGTTTTAGTTTTCCATCTGACAAATGGGGGTGGTACCTATTGTCCTCCTATTTCATGGAGTTGTGGTGTGTGAATCACATCAGATCATATAGGTGCCAGAGTTTAATGTATTTTTAATCATAATCATAATAATGGTAAAGAAGAAAGTTCACACTCCTGGCCTGCACCTGAAGAAACTTGGAACCCTAGCAATGCCCTCCTTGCATATCTGTGTCTATGGGCAGGAACTCTGACCCTCACCAGGTTCTTCACATCCTGGGCCTCTGGCTACTCCACATCTCAGCACTCAAGTCACACACCAAGCTAACTATGGCTAAATTAATGAGCTACTGACTTTTCACTCCTGGGGACAGCCGGCTCTTAGAAGACACTGGGCTGTGAGTAACACAGACTGTCATTTCACTAGCACTTAGCGAAAGGATAGATCACAGCACTCCATAAATGTGGAATAAATGAATGATATTTTAATGTTCTTATACTCACTGGCCCATTACATCTGGCCCAGGTCATATAGTTCAGGTACCATTAACTACTTTTTTGTTTAATTGAAAGCAGTAAGAAGTCTGAAGAGAAGTCGAGGGTTAGTGGCCCTGAATTCTGGGGACAAAAGAGCCAGAGGATGTGTAGGCAGTAAATCAGGCTGAAAAAGAGGACGACAAAAGCTTTGGAGTTATGAGTCCTAAATCTCAAGTTCAGGTCCTACCTGACATTTATTAGCTGATTCCTTGGGCTTCAGAACAAATCTCTTAGCTTCAATTCTATCAGCAAGAAAGAGAGGTTCCTCTCTTACTGATTCACAGCAGTGGGGCAAGAACCAGATGCTACATGTGGAAACCACAATACAAATTTTATTGAAATGTGCAAGGTCAGAGAGTGAGTTCTATTGCTTGTAGATTTCTCTAACATTTCATAATAGGGCCTGAAGAGGGCACTGTAGGCCAGGAGTTGGGTTGGCCAGGGTGAAAATTCACCTTTGCTGCCTGTTCCCATCACAGCTTCACCCTTCCCCCCACATACAGTTGGCAAATACCCTACAACCCCCTAATCTGCCCATAATTTTTCCTGCTGCAAATTGCAAAACATTCTCTCCCTTTTGCATATTTTCAAGGGCACAGGCTGACTTCTCTAAGTTTTGCTGTACAAGCAGAAAGACTGGTTGCCATAATGGCCAGGATTGGAGTCCAGATACAGTTTGTGATATCTTTTGCTGTCTGCATAGGTCTCTATTGGGCACTGCTTTGCCCCTAGAAGCATTATTTCTGGGAAGTAATTTGAAGTTGGTTGTCAGAGTAAAGGGTCAGATAAGGAGTAGGGATCAAAAATTAAGGTTGAGTTAGTTAGTTAGTTCTATGTTCCCCATCCCAGATAAGCAGGGAGCAGGTAGGGCTTATGTGGAAGGAATAAGCAGAAGAGAGAAGGTGTAAGTATTGGGGGAAATCCCTGTTGCCTTGGTCTTGAGAAAATTACTTTACTTTTTCATCTATATAATGGGAATGACAGGAGTAACTTACTCATAGGGCTGTGTGAGGAATAAAATGAGGTCACAAAGGTGAGCTACCTAGAGAAGCACTGGGTACTGAGTGAGTACTCAATGGTCAGCTGTCTGGGAAAGCGGGTCTTTTCTGCACTGCTGTCTACTGTCTCTTCTGAAAATCTTGGTGCAGAACATTTATGATGACCATCCTCAGACAAGGAAAGAAGCCAGCGGGATATAAAGGGGATTGTAGCACTGAGTTGGCAAAGGCTGATGCTGGGAATGTGGCATTAGCTGAAGAGGCCACAAAGAAGAGGCAAAAAGAATAAGCATTGGTGGCTGCCTACTAAGGAATAGCCTTGAATGGAGCCACCTTATTGACCAGTGCAGGCAGAGCTTGTGGCCTTACGCCCAGTGGGTCAAGAGGTCAGACAGGCCATGCAAGGCAGCACGTAGCGCCCGACCCCCTCCGCCTCTGATTTCCCAGGCCTGCTGCCTGCCGTCATGATGGGGGCAGAGCCAGGGAGGTAGGGGAGCTCCCAGGAAACCAGAAAAGCCAAGAACCATGTTATGGTTTCAGTTCTTGTCAGTGAGATTGAAAAACACAAAATCTGGGCTCCATGATGAGCCAGGGGCCAGCCCCCATCCCATGTTCATGGCTCCCACCACCTTCATTGTCCAAGGGCTCTTGCTGTCATGGAGTCCCCATGAGACCTAGAGAATTCATGGCTTGCCATCTAAATTCTCCAGTCCATTCTATCCCTGCTTGGTAGGTGCAAAAAAGAGGTATTTGCCCTTCAGCTTGTCCTGTCATCACAGTTCTGCAGGGCACAGAAATGAGCTCGGCGTCTCTCCAGCATGGTGCTATCTTAAGTTTAAGCTGATCTCCTCTGAATTTTTCCCGCTTCTGGGCCTCAGACTGGCCCTGTGACATCCTTAGATCTGAGCTGAGCTCTGGACAGTTCCTCGGGCTCTTAAGATGTCACTGCTGGTCCTGGAGTGTCCATGGGACAGGCTGGCGCTGAGCTGCTGGCCCCTTGATGGGGGTTGGGAGTGGTGATGTGGAAGGCGTGGCATAGGCAGTAGTGGTGAGTGAGGTGGTGGATGTGACCCGGGTGGGAGCATCTGGTCACCTGTCCCCTCTCCTGCAAGCCTCCCCTGTGTACAGCTTCAGCTTTCCTCGCAGAAAATTGGAGTAGATTCGGAAAAGTTTGCACAAAGTATCAATAGTGAATGTTCGGAGTGGAGCAGCAGAAGCTGTTGCCTCGGGAAGGGAGATGGCTTCCTTCTGTCAAAGAAATGAAAAAACTACTGCAGTGCCCGTGACCCTGGAGGGAGATGGGATTCAGGACAGAATTGGAGGGTGTTCCTTGCCAGGGTCCTTCTCCTATTTTACAGAAAAGGCAAACAAAGAACAGAGTATGAAGGAGGGTCTATTCCTACATACCTGTGTTCCCAGTGCCCGAAGCAAGGAGGTGAGGCTGCGCAGACCGCTGATAGCTTTGTCCACATGCAGCTGCAGGGTCTCAGATGGCTGGGAAGAGTTGGCCAACAGGGCCTGGCCCCGCAGGATGGCTTCTGAGAGCAGGGCCAGGCCCTGCCAGACTTCCAAGGCCTGCTGCTCAACCTAAAGGGAGCAGAGAGTAGGAGTCAGTAGCCCCCAGCGCAAAGCTGAGCAAACAAACAGAAGGCATACAATAAGGGCTTGTGGAATGAATGAACAAACAAATGAACATATTCCATTCAGTCCTCATATTTGCTGCTCCATTTCTTCTCTATCTCTATCATTCTCCTTCCCACCTTATCAGGTTTTCAAAATGAGACTCCCCAAGAGGAAGGAAAAAATGAACTCACCTCCATCCTCTTCCAAGCATAGAAGTTAACTTTGGTGTCTGGGACGGTGATATTCTCACGGAAGCTGCAGCCTTCAGCACAGCCCATCTGAAAGCACAACCCCAGGGAGTCAAGGCCCCCAAGGTCTCCCAGCCCAACCCACAGGCCACAGCTTTGCCCCTTACCTACCTTCCAGGTGTGTGTAAGGGGGCTACCAGTTTTATCATTTTAACTGGGGGTTCTGGCTTCCCACCTTCAGCCCTGACCCAAGTACTGGGAATGATTCCAGGTTCTTGGATCTTGGAGGAGACCCCTGAACCCCAGAGTAAATTCTGCAGAATGTCCTGGGGAGGGGGCCTCACCGTGACATTTTCAGCCTCCCGGGCCTCCAAGATGTACCTCTCCAGGACTCGGCTGTCACAAATGAGACGTGGGGGGGCGCCCAAGACTGGGAGGCCCAGAGGAAGCAACAGCAAGGAAACCAGGAGCAGCAGGGCAGGGCATTCTAGAAAAGAGAGCCAGGCTTGGTGTGAGGCAGGGAGGGGAAGAGAAGGATTGGTTTGGAGGGGCAGGTTCACATATCCCGTTCCTGGCCTGGGCTAGTCCTCCCAACCCAGTCTTCAAAGCGCTCGGGTTCTGCCTCCTTTAGCCTTCATTCAATCCTGCTGCGGAGCGCACACCCCACCCCCCAGCTACCGGCTCCACTTCTGAGGCCAAACTTCCATCCGGCTGAGACAGAGTCTTCCCCTCTCGCAGATGCCGGTGGTTGCTCCAGGACCCAGGTATCAACTTCCTCCCCACCCGCATAGCAGCCCTTCTTTCCCCCAAACCCCAAAACCTTGTCCCTGTCTCCAGGTCACTTTCTGCCTTTCCCGGGCATTTCCCAAGCCCGGCCAACACGTGGAGGCTGCCCCACCCCCTTTGCCCTTCCAGGGTCCCTCGGCAAGTCGCGGGTCCTTGAACCCAGCCACCTCTGGGCAAACAGTCCTGGCGGTAAATCCCTTCTCAAACAGGGGCCGGGGCGGGAGCTCCCCTGCGGGAGAGCACTCACCGTGCACCCCCATCTCCGTCCCCGCCGGGCCGCTCAGCGACCAGGGGCTCGCCAGACGCCCGCGCCCCAAGCCCTCATCCCGGGAAGCTTGTTGGGGCTGGGCCACCCCACAGGCCACAGGAGGGGGCCCAACGTCCAGGGACTGCCGAGCCGGGGGTCGGGCTGAGGAAGCGCAGGGCCAGCGTCTGGGAGGACGTGCGGCGAGGCGACCGGCCAGCGTTGGCCCGGGGACTGCGGCTGCGGCCGGGGGTCGGGACTGTTATCAGCATGTGTGCGTGCGTGTGAGGGGGTGGGGGGAGTCTGAGTGCGTGAGGGGTCGCCCGAGGTGGGGGCCATGAGGTCAGAGCAGGGGGCAGGACGCCTGGGTCGCGGGTTCGCCGGGGCGGGAGCTGAGCCGCGACAGGCTCGGGCTCAGGAACACCCTTCTGCCCGCCTGACCCCGGGTTCCGGGAGGTGCAGCTGGGTGCGCACCAGCGGGATGAGCAGAACGCCTACGCCTGGAAGAGGAGGGCCACTCTGGGAAAGGCTGGGGACCCCCATGCCTCCCTGGGGGGCTCAGAGCTGGAAGTGCCTGAGATTCTGCGAGGGCGCTGGATCGGAAAGCCCAGAAGGTGCTGGCAGGGGCAAGTCAGTTGCCTTCCTTCTCACTGCTCCAGTACTTGCTCTAGAACCAGTGTTGTTCGTGTTAAGGAATTTGATGGGTATGCATGAAGCAAGAAATGTGGGAATCTTCTCCCCCTCCTCACTTTCTAGGACCCTGAAAAGCCAGAAATTGAACTTTTAGGACACAAAGCATATGGTATGCTCTGCAGGACATACATGCACTTTGACATCGTTTCTTTGACCTGTGGTACAGGTTAGCCTGTGTGGCAGAATTCTTACCGACTCTGAAATAGAGCTAACCCCAGTGTGATGGCAGTTCTTATTTGCAGCTAATCCTTTGTGGCTTCTAGGAAGCCCCGAGGCAGGAGAGCAAACGCCCTAAAGCAGGAGGCCAAGGCTGGCTGGCTGGCTGGCTGGCTGGCTCTCAAACCTTAGAAAATGGCCTCGGCCCTTGAGCCTCAGTGTCCTCACCTGTCAAATGGGTATGATGAAAGTACCAGACCCACCTCATGTGGATTTACTGAGACAGCAAAGTCCTACAAATACTGGTGGTATATATATATATATATATATATATATATATATATATATATATTCCTTCGCTCTCTACCTGGTCCCATGATATTACAGATATTTTTATTCATGTGTTCAGTATCTTCTTTGTGTTAAAACACTTGACTACATATTTTGCAAGACAAAAAGATGTGTTGAGAATTAGCTCCTGTCTCCTGGATGGAGTTAGTAGCTTAACATAGAGATAAGATGTGTACACATGCAATTTGTTAGGACTGGAGTGTGCAGAGCTGAGCTGTAAGAGTTTGGAAGAGGGCGAGCTCCTCTAGCTGGGGAAGTCAAGGAAGTTTTGATGGAGGACTTGATAATGAGCTCAAGTCCTGTAGGATTTCAATGGGAAGAGATGTAAGGTTGGTGTGGGAGGCCAATTCAGCAAAGTGAAAGGAGGGTCAGGTGTGTTGGATACAAAGAGGAGAAGTGGAAATCAGACCTGAGTGCTGGTTAGAGAGGGGTCAGGTTGTGACGGGCCTTGAATGCCACTCTGAGGAATTTGGCTTTTGTTTGGAAAGAGTGGGAAATGTTCATTCTTTCAAGAAATATTTGTTTCTTCAAGAAATGAATGTTTAGCCCTGGCCAGGTGGCTCAGTTGGTTGGAGCATCGTCTATACACTAAAAGGTTGCAGGTTTGATTCCTGTTCAGGGCACATACCTAGGTTGCTTTGATCCCAATCAGGTAGCGTACAGGATACAATCGATCAATGTTTCTCTCTCAGATATTTCTCTCTCTCTCTCTCTCTGACGGAGACATATCCTTGGGTGAGGATTAAAAAACAAATGAAATGAATATCAATTCATTAAAGATGTATTCCTACCCTTGGCCAGGACCTGGGGATAGAGCAGTGAATGAAACAGAAGAGTGCCTGCCCTGGTGGAGCTGCCATCCTAGTAGAGAGTAAGAAGACCAAACACAAATATGAATGAAAGAGAGGATCTCCAATGGCAATAAGGACTAAGAACAGGCACAGAAAGGGGACCAGGATTGTTAGAAGACTTTGCAGTTTTAGATCAGGCAGGCATGGGTGCATGCTGAGAAGTGACCTGAATGAAGACCTGAATGAGGTGAGGGAGGGAGCCATAACCGGGGTAGGGAGAGAGCATGATCAAGGAGGGGTTCAGAAAGATGAATGGAGAGGCTAGTGTGTTTCTGGTGGAAGTAATGAGGAACTGACGCTCGCTCTCCCACCCTGTTCTCCTGTCCTCAGTTCACCAGCCTACTTTGGGAGTCCTTTTCAAACCTGGTGTACTGGATATTGGTCTGCACGCCCCACTATGTCCTCTGGTCCCAGCTCCCCTCTCAACACCAGGCAGTCTCCCAGCCCCTCTTGGCCTTTACACTCTGATTCTGCTCCCTTCCCAGATCCCAGCTGTGAGACAAGCACATGCACACTCACGTCCACACACGTCCGCACATGTGTTCTGTCTCGAGCCCCCCACCCCCAGGCTCTGTTCTCCCAGTCCTCGACTCTTGACTCCTGCGTCACTGCCCTGACCTGACCATCAAGAGGGGACCAGGGACAGATGGGGGTCGGGGGGTTAGACACAGCCTGAGGAGAGGGAGGAAAGGAAGAGCTTCTTGGGCTGTGGGACCTGCTCCTCCCTCCTCTCTGACAGCAACTTGTCAGAGGCTCCTGCCTTCAGGGAAAGAAGGGAGATGGATCATGAGCACAGCCCATAAGTGCTAGGGCCTGCTGGACAGGGGTGGTGCTGGCTTATCCTCTGTGGTTTTTGGAGAGAAAGCTATGATTGCAGCTTGGGAGAGAGGGTAGAGGAGAGGACCTTTGTCCACCCCACACCCAATTCCTAAACTATAATCCTGCTAGGAGGGCAGAGGCTGGTTTGGAGAACAACTTCAACCCAGGTGCTCTTGGATAATACCCAGCAGGCTACACCTATCAGTCCTCAGCAGGGGACCCCGAGGAGCATGAAGAAAACAGGAACCTACCTGGGGTTCTCCCTCCAATGCACACCATCCCCTGCCCAGTGCCCCCTCCATCTTCCTGCTTCTATTTCTTTGGCATAGTGCTGACCCAGACCCAGGACCACTGCAGAAGGTCTCCTCACTGACCCCTTCAGTTAATCCCCAACCCTACCACTAGATTAACTTTCCTACTGAATAGCCTCATTTGAGTCACTCCCCTGAGCAGGAGCCTGCAATGGCTCCCAGTTGCCTCAAAATTAAGACCCTCTGTGTTCTGCCATTCACCAACCTCTCTAGCCTATTCTCTCACTTTGCTCATCACAGGAGTGCAGTTAGATGGCTTTCACCTTCCTGCCCTTTGCACACCCTCTGCCTTCTACTTGGATCACCCTCCTATACTCTCTTCCCTGTTCTTCAAAGACCAAACCCAAGTATTACCTCCTCTACAAAACCTTCCCTGATCCCCCAGCAGGAAGTCGTCTCCTTCCTCTGTGCTGCCGTCCTTACACATCTTAGGTCTCTCACTGGCAGGGCCACCATGTACAACTGTCAAGGTTGAGCACTGCACAACTCCAGGGGGTACCATTCATATAGATTCTGGTGGGAATGGTACTCTCTGGAGTCATGCAGCACAGAAGCCCTGTTAATCAGAGAAGAGAGCAAAGAACAGTGTCTTATTCACTGTTACTCACGAGGCACCCAACATGTTTCCTGTTTATGGCTATCACTTATGTGTGGCTTCTATTATGTGGGCCCCCGACTCCAGACACCTCAGCCAGAGATTGACCTAGAGGGGGAAAGTAAGCCCTTCATCCTGAGTGCTTGCCAGAGTCATGCCTGGAAAACCTAGCTCTGGGCCCTGGCCGGTTTGGCTCAGCGGTTGGAGCGTCCGCCTACGGTCTGGAGAGACCCAGGTTCGGTTCCCGCTAAGGGCATGTACCTCGGTTGCAGTTTGTCCCCGGGGCCCTGGTTGGTCGTGCGGGTGGCAGCCACTCGATGTGTCTCTTTCACATCGATGTTTCCCTCTCTCTCTCTACCTCTCTCTCCCTCCCACTCTATCTGTACAAAAAATGGAAAAATGTCCTCGGGTGAGGATAAAAAAAAAAAGAAAACCTAGCTCTGGGATCTTGGGGACTTGTGGGGCCTCCCTCCACTTCCTGTCCAGGCAGCCACTGAGGCAGAGTCTGAAAAGGACGGTTGTGACCAGAGGATGGTGGGGGTGGAGGCAGGCTCTGTTCCATGAAGTCTTCCTGGCAGCCAATTCAGATTGAAAATCTAAGGGGAAGCAAATTTACAGCCCCCTTGAGCTGTCCCAGACCCCAGGCAGCACGAAGCCCCAGCTGCCTGGAGTTGGGTTGGAGATGGGGGGTGGGGGTGACTCGGGGCCTCTCCTACCCTGCTTTCCAAGCAGTTGCTTCTCTGCTTGACTTGAGAGTTCAGCCAGTGGCCGAGAAGACCTTCTGTGCTGGGAAGTGAGGTGGCTGAGGAACTTGGAGGGTGGGGTGAGGGAGGGCTTCCTGGCCCTTGGGGAACTGGAAAGGGAGCAAGAATGTCAGAGAAGGGATTACTGCTGGAGAAAGTCCTGTGCAAAGATCAATTTGGAGAAATTGAGGCAAGGGCTGTTTTCTTGGCCACAAGTAGCCAGGAGAATCAGATCTAGGTTTCTGTTCTCAGCAAGAAGCATTGTGACCTAGCAACCTAAAGGGATTGTTTGGTAAACAAGGGTGCCCAGATCAGTGGCCTGAGCTCTGCCACTTTCTGACTAGCACCCGACTTGTGACTTTATCTCTGAACCTTATTTCTATAGAATGGGGATGGTGAAAATCATAGTAATCTCTTCCCAGGGCTATGGTAGGATTATGTAATGCCTGGCATAGGGTGATCAATACATACTAGCTGCTATTCCTATGCCCTCTGCT